ACTGAGAAATGTCATTTCTATTTCTTATATAAACCATATTTACTGCATCTTTGCTCCAAATGAAATCAAAGGACACCACAGTGTTAGTTACTTACAAACTGCCTATTTCTGCGAGGCAAGATATAGCCTTGATAGTCTGCCTTCCCCTTCGCCTCCTCAAGGTAAAACTGCAGAAGGAAAAAACAAAGTTTAATATTTAGTCAATACTGAAGTACAGACACCATTGGAAACAGAAAAATCGGTAGTTAATGGACCAAAACTAGTTAAGAAAGAAGGGGATACAGAAAGGCAACATATGATTGCATGTTAAAACACAATGCATATGACAAAAGAAAGTGCTTAACTAACATAAACATAAATGGAAATGCAACTTTATAAGAACTACTTCTGAACTCCTAGTTATGACTAGTGATTGCAGTACAGGCATGTACCTGAAGCCAGTTGTGGAAGCCTGAGACCTGTTGTTCTCCACGTGACTTGATTTGTCCAACAAAGACATGTTCAAAAGAAGATGAGCATCCAGAAGTACCACCTCGACCATAAAGCGTGAACCAGAGATCTTTTAGCATATTCTTAAATTCCTGGTAATTCTCAGTGAAGAGACCTGTGCTTGAAAGATACTTGTAAAGATACTTGATAGGCGCAGTCCTACTAATCTCTTCAATAAATGCAGCTTGTTCCCGTCTTTCTTCCTCTGATACTTTTTCCTTACATCCTTCATATGGGTTGTAGTTGTCAAGCAGGGCACAGAACCGAGAAAAAGTAGGTTTTCTGAAAACATTTTCATCAACCCATGTAAAGAGACTGGCTTCTGCCATGTCTTCCCTCTCATGGACCCTCTTCCCCTCACCAATATCAAGTTCATAGTCCTTTCCAGGATTCAAGCGGTTAAAATCGAGTTCCCAAAGCTTTGCGCAAGCACTTATGTAGTCAGAAAGCTCATTTTCAGATGGCTCCATTTCAGCAGCATAGTTGACTTCCTCAGAATATTGCTGCTCACTTGGAGAACTTTTATATGAATTCCAATGGTCCATATGAACCTGTTAATCGAGCTATAAAGTTAGACAAGAATTGAAGTGATCTATCTATAAGCAGATTTTTGGGACTAAGGCTTTGTTCTTGTTTGTTTAATTGTAATCATAATTGGGTATATCAATCAACGTTGTAAGGGAAACAGCAAACTGAGACAAGTAGCAGTCTAAGGTCATCAACTAAAGGAGGGAGTCTGGAGCCATCATCTTAAGTCTCTATCCACAGCAAACATTGGCACATTGCGATACACAAGGTATAAGAGGGGAAAGAGCAGTGGTGAGGTAAACGGTAAAGACAAGAACAGAAGGTCTCATCTTTGCTTCAAACTCCACCAATGCTAAGCATACAGTGAAAAATATCCATTTAAACTTAAAAGACCCCTTAACAATTTCCTTTTCCATTTCCTTACTGCCGTTCACAGTTCATTCCTACAAAAATAATGACTTCAAAAAGTATACTATTTTGTCTATTATTCTTGATCAATGTACGACACAGATCCCTCTTGCATCAAGTACCACCAGAATAGACTGCGATTGGTTATCTAAATCAATTCCCCTGAAAACTACTTTAGTGATCACCAAACTGATGAAAAGAGAATGTCTTTGCCACTAGCAAATCAAAATATGAAGTAGGGTAACATTAAGATAAATATTGGAGGTGTCATACCCTCTGAGGCCGCTTGTGATGCTTCTTGTGGGCAGTTTGCCAACCATCAGTGTTTTCCTCTTGTTCATTCTACACAGATCAAAACAGAACAGTTTACAACCACAAGATTGACTTCTTAAAATGAATGACACAATGAAGCTGCATACAAAACTAACCTCTTCATTTCGATTATTACTAGGCCTCTCATAATCATCATTTTGTTTATAATTCTCATGCGTAGCCTAGATGCCATCAAAGCAACACATTAGTACAAATGCATCCCCAAAATGACAGATTTTCGCGATTAGGAGTTATGGACTACACTCAACGCCGCAGACAGGCTGTGAAATATTGAAGGCTGAACATGTATTACTCAGTTTTTGTTTCTTCTAGCATACTCACATTATTAAAGTAAGATTCTGATCTCTAGACAACCTATATAAGTTGAACAAACATGCTGATATCCATAGCCAATAACAATGTACTGAAAACTCGATATCACTAGCATACTCGGGTTAACAAACTTAAAAGTACCATATCAGTACAACAAACAACACCAATAATAAGTGAAATCACACCGAAGAATAATAAGTTGAACTCTGTTTACACAATGATGTACATTTGGCAATGTTTGATACAATTGACGGTTAGAAATCACTAATTTACAAGTAAATTCATTCGACAACTATATCAACATTCGTACAGCATTTGACCATTCTGATCAACCCTAAAAATTAATAATACTTGTATGCAATAGAATTTATATGCCAGTACTTGAAATTAATGGTTCAATTTCAAAATTCTATAGCATGGATCATTCTGTATTCTGTTAAATCCATATTTTCAAAATCTAATATAGCAACAATTTCATCCATACTTTAATCAATATAATATCCCATATAGCAAGGATCATTGTCTTCCATCCATAATTTCAAAACCCCACATAACATAGATCATTATATTAAATCCACATAATTCAGATTATACTATACTCCCTAAAATTAAAATTCCCCATTATTCGGATAAAAACTTTATCAAATCAAAATCAAATAGATAAATAAAAAACATACATGCTTAACGTATTGAGATTGAGTTTGATAACTATGATCAACAGTAGCAGCAGCGGCATAAGAACTGTGTTGACCAGTTTGATAAATCCTGCTCCCCTGACACCACCTGCGCATTTTAGCCAATTCCCATCATCAGATCATAATTCATACATTACAAATTCCATTATAATTTTAAAGCAGTAAAGAAGGAAGAGGGTAATTCTGCTAACCTGCGCCCAACTGGATCTAGAACGTTCTTCTATTTCTTCAGAGTTGTTGTTGTTGTTGTTGTCGTCGTTGTTATCGTCGTCGTCGATGTTGCGACGATTGTGGCCGATCGCGACGTCGACGAGACCCTTGATCAAACCCTCCATTATTGATTTTTCTTTTTCTTATAAATGAAACCCTTTTTTTTTTTCCCTTCTGGGAATTATCTTCTTTTGATTGTACGACAAATGGAGAAAGTGACTATAATTAAAAGGGTGATCTTTATTTTCTTTTATTTGAAGATATAGAAAGAGAAAGAGAAAGAGAAAGAGAGGGAGTGACAGTTGAAAAGTAGGGATTTAAATAATGGATAAGAAGTAACGAAGAACGGAAGGTAATGTTAGTTGTAATAATTAATTAATTTATTGTCTATGCCGGGAAACGGACTCATCTCTATGCTTTATGCCGATACACCCGGATCCGAAAACATCATATCAAGGTGTCCACTACATAATCGAATTATTATTTGAAATCAAGTATGATATACTAAAAACTATTTGTATTTTTCATGATATATGATATATGTTAAATCGTTACCCATATACTAAATGAAGTGTATATAGTTGTCGTAGCAAATAATTGATTTATTGGTATATGCCGGGAAACGGACTCATCCCTATGCTTTATGCCGATGCACCCGAATCCGAAGACTTTATATCAAGGTGTTTATTATATAATCGGATTATTGGATTATTAATGTATAATTAAGTGTGATATACTAATATCTACTTGTATTTTACTTCCTCCTTTCTAATAATATTGCAATAAGGATAAAATTACGCATCCAAAATACATTTTATATGTTAAATATTTATAATTATGTAAGAGTAAAAATTATACAAAGTTGATATTGTGAAAGTATTTTATCAGACAAATCTAACAAAATTAATGTATAAATCATATTATATGGTCAAATAAGAATAATGAATAGTGTTCTTCAAAAAAATAATAATAATAATGAATAGTGCAGAAGTTCAATTGTTGCAATATTATTGGAATGGATGAAGTATACGATATAGTAGTATGTGAAATCGTTACCCATTTATAAAAGGAAGTGTAACGAAAAATGCTAATTTTGATTGGATAGTTTAAAGAGCAAGTGGACTGTTCCAAGTCTTTCAACAACCTTAATGGACTCTGGTGTCTTGGGGTATATCGAAATCTTATCAACCTATTTTCTTTTTGGTCCAAAAATGTCAAAAATTGTTCAAAACTAAATATTATATAATCAACGCTACTGGCCCAATATTGGAAATTTTTTCCAAAATTAAAGTGAATGTATGGGGGTGTTTCTTATGATCTTATAAGTTGATTTAGAACCATAAAAGACCTATACATAGATGATAGATCTATAAAGTCCAAAGAACGTGCTTAATACATTTACGTGTGTTGCAATCCAAGGTTGGTCATATAAACTTTTTTGGATTTCATATTATTACTCTCTCCATTCGTAATAAATAATAATCGCAAAATTTTCCTTTTATTTTTATTTTACAATACTTGCAACATTTTCCTTTTATGTTCGTTTCATAATAATTGCAACACTTTTCTTTTATATTCGTTTTGTAATAATTGCAACACTTCATTATTTCTCTCTGCTACCAACCCACTTATATTTTTTTTTTTATTTATCATTTTCTCTCCTACTAACAATTAAATATATCACCACTAATACTTTATATTATATTTCCATTTTAATTCCCACCCTATAATTATCTCAAAACTATGTGCAATAGTTAGTGTTGCGATTATTATAAAACGGAGGGAATTGTAGAGTGTAGTGGGAAAATGAAAGATAATGGCATGAGTATTAAGTATTGACTATTTGGCCGGATTTCGTGATTAACATGCTATTTTTACAAGAAATTTTAATTCAAGGTATTTTCACAAATTGACTTAAAACTTAGGTATTTTCTATAACTTTGCCTAATTAATTCAATAAAATTACATTACAATATTAATAAATATGGTAAATGCACAAGGTATTACATCACAATTACTATGAAATTTAGAAAGCTGAATCATATAGTTGCCACATGATATACAAATACGAAATATCAAATATACAGTGTATATGTAGCACTTTGGATTGACCAAAGTGTGTTCCATACATTTATTGATGTATGTATGTATTGTTTTATACTCATAAAATTGATTTACAAAAGCAACCCCTCACGTATTTATAAAAGTTTATCACACATTTTTTTTGCAGCTTTAAACATTACTCCATAATTTCTACGTGGACAAAATTTGCTATGGACAATGACTCCGGCCAATATATCACATGTACAATAAAAGAATCAATAGAGGGGTAAAACTGAAAAATTATTTTCAGATCAACATTTCAAATAGAATTACGTCAACTCCTTAAGTCTCAGATGAGTGTGATGAAGAAGCCGTATCCTCGCGCACCTTTTTTGGTATCCATCCAGACTCTTCCCTAGGCTGTCTTAAAGCTACAAACTGAAGAGCAGCACTCTGCACCTGATACAAGTGACATGCCCATGGATATGAATCCGGTGCAGACCAAATCTTTTCCCCTTCAAATTCTGCATCTTCAACTAATGATTCTGCCACACAATAAACTACATTGGTCTCAGGCTCATTAAACCCTGGCATAGCCACGCATCCTAGAGATACAAATCCTTCTGGAGCCCGTGGAAGCCATATAGATACTGGAGTTACATAATCGTCTGCACAGTTCCTCCATACCTACACCAACCCCAAAAGAGTATAGATAAAATATCAAATACTAGCAGGTGCTAATTCTGTAAATGATGAAATTCTAATATGGCCTAAAGGAAATGCATAAAAAGCCACAAATATGTGCCAATCTACTACTTTGGACCAAGAAGTTCGGTGATTTCACATTCTAAGGAACTAGATGTCAAAAGCCGTTGAAAGAAGTTGGTTCTGAGGTGTTGCTATGTACGGAGTATAGATGAAAAAAGTAGCAACTGCATACAAGGCTACAGCCAAAGTGATATGCTGAAAAAGATGTCATATACACCCCTACACCCAAAACTTTGCTGCATAAGATATTTCTAAAAGTTACGGATGTTTTCTACAATATGAGTCATTTAAACAAGAAGAGATACTGCAGTGTGATATGTAAATCATTCATACCAGGTCAAATCCCAGAGGAAGTGCAAACAATTGGTCATCATAAAGATAGACAGTGGCAACACTGGGTGGGTGACCACCAACATGAGCTATGTCACCAATGGACAAGTACCTGAAGAATAGAAGGATACATGAGAAATACATACAAAACATTGTAAAACTATAAGCAAGACGATTCAGATTGGCAGAAAATGAACTAGGCTTAAGAGCACAACTATGGATCCAACATACACTACCAAACAGAAATCCAGTCAGCATGAAATGAAACTAGAGTTCAATTTATTTCATCACTTCTCCATTGAAAGGGGCTTTGAGCAGGGATTAGATGGGTGGGTTGGGGAAGGTGTGTGCTAAGTGCTTATTGTACATAATTCTAGAGAATTTAGGGGGCGTTTATTTCAGCTATTTTTGAGAGTCCGCTATGACTTGGAGCCTATGAGATTGCAATCATTCCAGACTTCAAACGCACATGACGTTTGTTTTAGTCTATTCACCAAAAGATGGAATCTTGGAGAGTCATCCTTCAAACTCCCAAGGTATTGGGTTCCCAAATGCGTGGAGAAAAACCTCACTCTAGGAATCAGCGGAAATATAAAAGAGAGTACCATTTCAATTCATGCCTTTGCTTAACCATTGCCCCAATCTCTATCACCCACCTTAACCAACACCAACTGCAACACCCTCCACCAACCCCATTAAAACAATCATCTAGATCACGATAATCATCACCAAGCTGCCCAAATTGCCCCATTGCTGTCACCACCACCACCATCACAAGATTCAAAACCCATACTTTACGGAAGATGTGAGAAAGATCAATGTTTAAGAATACAAAAATTTATGCGATTCACTAGCACTGTTTGAGCTACATCCACAAGAAAGCGAGAGGAAAAATACAGAGTTTATATACCAAATGAAATAGGCCCAAACATTCCTTTTTTCTCTGTGTGTGTGTGTTTGGGGGGGAGGGGGGAGGCATGTTCTAACACCTAAAGCCAAATTCCTTTTTTATTTTTCCGAACATCCGCATATCCTTAATCACCCAACCACCATCGTAGCAACACAAAAACAAATGAAAAAACAAACCCAAAAAAAAGCTTCCATTCATGCATGATTTCCATCTTATTTCCATATTACTCCACTGTTTATTTTTTTTTTCAAATTTGTTTTTTTTTTCGCGTCTATGTATTGATTTAGGTAAATTTTAGATATTCAGAAATTAGTTGATGCAAGCATGGAAAATCTGGTGTAGTAAAGATCAAAGAAGTAAAGAGCTAGAACAAGAGAGCAGATGAATTTGTGTCAAAGAAGCACTACTTGTCTGTGTCCTAAAGCTTCAGTTTCTGCCCCAGCCCCCAGCAAGATCAGCTTGACACGTTCATGTCAGCATATCACATCTGGAAATTTTCAGATATCAGCAAAATCAACTTGACACATCCACATCCAAGAAAGGTGACATGAAGTGGCAGTTGAGTCTTCTTAGTAATCTTAATCTTAGGATTTTTTTTTTTTTTTATTCTGGCTGTCTTGACATGTCCGTGGTACTCTGAGGAGACATGGATGTGTTTGTGGGTCTTAAGGTGACTAGATTATATTTACTTAAATTTTCAATTGTAATAGTTTCACTAAAATCTTCAAGAAAGCTTAAAGTAAGAGAAAGAAAGTAAAGGAAATCCTAACAAGATGAAGACTATTAGGGGCCATTTGGTTCAAAGAGGGTAAAGGGAATGGAACCAGGAAAAGGGTTAGGGAGGGAAAAGAATTTGATATGCTATGTTGTTTGGTTTGAGTAGCTACAAAAATTCAGTAAATACATTCTCTTTGCCTACCATTTATACACCAAGTACCGATACCCACCATGGCCACCAACCTCTCTCCTCTCTCATCATTTCTCAATTAGCTTCTTTATTCCTAGCACATCCACCATATACCCTCGCTAGTGGTGTCGCAAAGCCACCATCGCTTCTGCCCCTATGTGTCTCTCTCATCTTTTAAAGTTTTTGATAGTTAACATAGGTTTTAATAGTCAAATTCGCCCATTAAAACTCCAAGAATTTTAGCAATTTTCTTATAAAGCTTGTTGAGGATATAAATCGTGACGAATCTAATAAGATTCCACAAGATTGATAAGCATTAAAGATATTAATCACCCATAAAAAATCTTTAATAATACCGCAAAATTCGCCCATTAAAGAAACGTGTTTTTATAATTTTGTTTTTTGAGTGGAAAAGGCAAAATGGGAAATGATGGTAAAAGATGAAGGCCCTACTCTTTAAGAGCACCAACACCCTATTGGATAGTTGACAAATACACAGTATTGCTAACAATCTAACTTTTCCTTGCAATTTTAGGTTTTTTGTTAGATATGAAATTTAACTCAAGGTGAAGTAACAATAAGAATCCCAATGAATGGTTTAATTGTTTTCTCGAAATTATCATGTGTCTAGTCAAAATTTTCATGTAATTATTGAATCACTTCGTACTTAAAAAATAATTCAGAGCAAAAATGATGCATATAGGATATAGCTAATACTTGACACTTATTACATTGATTTTGAGTTTTATAGTTTTTTGGCTGATTAAACTGCATTAGATTTTTGGGTATATTTTTCTTCTCCTCCTTTTTATTAGGATACTTGCAGTATTATTAAAGATTTTAGCAATTTTCTTATAAAGCTTGTTAAGAATTTTACTTTCTCAATGTTCTCATTGCTATCAGTAATTATGCTATGACTAAAATATTTCTGAAATTGCTTCCTTAATCATGCATGCTATTAGAGTTTCTCTTGTTATTTTCAATGAGATATTTAGTGAGAAATTTTCTTCCTAGGGCTTGTAAAAACCCCGAATATAGTTATGGTCCTTATAAATTACTCCTTCAGTCCCTTTTTGTTTGCACCATGGGCCCACTTTTTGTGAGAGCTTTTTGGGTCAAATGGTGCAAACAATAAAGGATGGAGGGAGTAGTAAATTAAATTGGGTTTTTCTTTTGAATAGTCATTGAATACTTTAGGATAGAATGGGGCCAGGGCCAGAGTAGGGAGTTCCTGATTTACCCAGAAGGACAAGCTGGTCTCCAGATGCTGCATATGCCATGATCCTCAATAGCCTGCATAAACAATAAATTACAAATAAATTCTCAATTAAGAAAAAAAAGGCACAGTAGAAGTAGCCTATTATCCTGTTCTCACCTTCTTTCTACACAGTGTGCATCTGCTTTTAGATTCTTGTTCACTACTCCAAATCTTATCAAAGTTGACGCTGTGTTCCACAAACCTCCTTTCATGGGATACACAACTAGATGATGATGCTTCCCTAGACATAACAATAGCTTTAGTCTGGCTCTGCATATCTCTCTTATCAGCTTCAGCCCAAGAGAAGTACACACGTTTCTGGCTTGAAGGTACCTGCTAATGTACAAATTCGTAAGGACAGATTGTAACCCAGAATGAAGGACCAGTGAAATAAAATCACTTTTTAACCTTTAAAGCTAAACTTTTCAAATCAGATTGATAGGCTTTCCACATCGTCCTCACTGTCGAGCAAATTTTAACTGCCAGAGGTTCTCCGCCTTCTGATTCTTCCTCGGGCTTGCATTTTATAACCCGAACAAATGGCTCAGATCTCTTGAAAGTTTTAAGATGAAAAATCAAATGAGAAGGTTGAAGTCTTCCAGGTTTGGCCAACTCAAGAGACAATAGCTCTTCCCATGGCACATCCCACATAATCTTGCTAGGTCTTTTGTCCATATTTTCTGAAGCTTTAAACTAGATCCAAAACACAAACACAGACACAGACACACACACACACACACATCCATTAGTCCTTTATATTGATAAGATAGTGCTAGAAGCCTAGAAGGGCCACTTTTCTCTTATATACCTGAAGAAGCATAACCCTTCTGTTTGAAACCAACAAAATCCTTTGCGGAGGCAACATGAAATGAGCTTCATAGTAATCAGACAAGGCGAATTTGGAGGGTTCTTTGAAGATTTTCGTGCATCCCAAATTATGACTTGCTTCTGCAAGCCATAGAATCATCTGAATCAAAACAAGAAAAGAACTTTAAATTAATTTAACTCCTTTTAAACTGAAACAGGAATCATCTAGATGATATCATATACTTTATAACTCCTTTGATTTTTTGCCAAATTAGAAAACTGTATGGAAGAGAAATAAGCCATAACACATGATGAGGAAATTTAGTTTTTAAGGGGAGAGCTTGGGCGGTAATTCTTTTCGGAACCTGAGTTACAAAAGATTTCTGAGGGGTTTTCTGTAAATGATTTAGAACCCTCATTTAGTCTAACAATATGATTAATGGCACAAAGATGTAAGATTCATTATAACATTTTAACAAAATCAAAGTTGAAACATTTGCTTTTACAATACAGCTATCAACAATCGAATAAACATAGATTTCTAATCCCCCTATCCCGGAATAAACGCCCCACTTCTCCAGAAATTCTAGCCCAAAAATAAAAGCCCCATTTCTAATTTGGGTAGGGTCCTTCGTCCATTAACTTCTTTAATTTATGCATAATAAATCTACAAAACCCCTTTAACCCCACAATATCTTTCACTTCCCCTAAAATAATAAATAATTTCCACCACCTTCCTTATTCAACATTATCAAAGTACCCCACTATAACTTCTCTCATAAAAACGTATTCCCAGGAAAATTGGGGTTTTATGAAAAGGGAGCAGATTAAATGTTTAGTGATAGCTTAGGGCCATAAATATATTTGTCTTAAGCCCTTTTTTTAAATAAGGGTGAAACCCCCTTGGTGTTTTTCGAATATAATTCTTGCACTAAACAAAATAATCAATTACAAATACCAAGGCTTGCTGATATCAGGTACAATATCAGATATTTTTGTACCTGTCCAAGAGCTTCTCTTTCATTGTATTCTCGAAGAATACCATCTGCATGTATAGCTCGTGGATTACGGACCCTTTGGAGGGAGGTTCTATTGTTTAAAACTTCAAAGCATCTGGCACAACTTGCACCAATTCCATCAACAGTCAATGAAAGGAAATCTAATGCACCACTCATTGGTTGGACTATAAATCCCACGAAAGCTCGCCCGAGCCCATGAGCAAGTCCTAGAACGCCATTCTGCCTAGCACTCTCAACAGGTTTCCTGACTACTCCTGACACACCAAATGCAAAACCTTGCGCCAGAGCTTCAGTTCCTTGGATAATTCCATCACCTACGCCTGTTATTTTTCTAGACCAAACCTGAAGAATTTTTCAATTAAGTTCAAGATATCCATATTAAAACCATAACCTTCATATGGATTAAAGAGAAATAAGGGAAGAACCTGCTTGGAACGTAACTGCAGGAACTGTCCATCTGTAGAAAGCTCAGCAAAACCTTTGCTTAGGGAGGCTAATGTAGATCTTGTCATGCCAAGTACATCCACTGAGAGGATTAAATGCAGAGGATTGTGTATTAAGTCCCTCCAGATCCGATTCGTAATGGCAGGAACCACAGCACTTTTTCGCATGAATCTGTCCCTGTGCATAACCTTCCGTAAGTGAATCTGCAAAATATACATATTACAAAGTTATGGCCATGAAATCATGTTAGGATGATTTATATAGTGTAAAGATCCAATTTCCAAGAATCCAGTAGTATCATGTTGCTTAAGCCTCCAGATCCAATGTGTTAAAGATTGGAATGACACACACATAAATTGTAGTATAATTTCAGAGTCCTCAAATTAAAGGAGGGCAATGCATTTCATGAGAAGCGTTCAAGTAGAATAAAACCCGCATGACTCTTGAATAAAGTAGTAATTTAACATCAACATGAATCTTATTATATGGTCTTGCTATAACATGCAAGACTTGGATGGTTAAGGGATGTTAGGAGTAAAAATCTAGATGGGACTCAGAAGGTATGCAAAGAACTGATTGGAGTGCAAGTAATTGCGAGGTAGGCCTAAAAGGAAAGGTGGAAACTTAGTTCTAAAACCTAATAATATGTATTATGTGACTAAAAATATTGATGAATATATACATGTGTTCTTTGCTTTGGTCAGCTGTGCAGTTTCGCCAATTGTGTTAGGTGACATATAATCTCCCACGTTGGGAGACATAAGCAATAGCGCTTATTGAAGTGCAAGAAATCACCAATCTAGGTCATGGGTTTCTTCATCCAAAATTAACCACGTCAAAGTAATTAATAAAGGCCTCAAACTATGAGACGCAACTGCTCCACCATATATTTAATCCATGGGCAAGACACTTAATAGCAAACCCTGGTCTTTCCCTTACCTGCCCTAGGAAGTAGCCTTACCAGGATTTATGGGTAATGCTGTAATGATATGGTAAAGATGCTAGATGCAGAGCTCCTACCTCCTCCATTCTCACTGTCTCTCCATTAATCAAGTTACTCAGAATTATAAAAAATCTGATCAAGCACTTTAAATCAGCTTGATTTTATAATGATGATAACTTTCACTAAGTGAATCAAATTTCAACTCACTAAGGCAATTTTACAAAAAAAAATAAAAAATAATAAATAATCCCTCAGTCCCAAGTACGTTGGGGTGGACACGTAGTTTAAGAAAACTACAAGTGGGTCCATTTAAAACATTTGTTTATTGTATAAAAGATTCTCTTTTTGTATTTTTATATTGCAAGAAAACAAGAGGGGTGGTAATGGGGTAGGTGAGGAGAGAGAAAATGTGGGAATTTTTTTTTTTTTTTATTAGTGGTCCCATTCCATATTTAGTAACGTGTCAAGTATTGTGGGACGGACGAAAATGGGAATTGTGTCAAGTATTCTGAGACGGAGGGAGTAATAATTATGAATTGTAAATTTTTTTCTTGGGAAGCTCTGAAGTGGTTGAAACCTGAAAGTAATAATCATACAAAAGATGCATTCACAACGAGAAAGCTTTAATCTGCAAGTTACTAATTCCAGTCAAGCAAGCTCACCTGAATTTTAAATGCACTGCCAATGGCTGACAATAAGGGGCTCCATACTCCCAGCACACCATGTGGTCTTTGAGCTGGTGCTGTTTCCAGTGCGACTTTCAATCTTACTTCTGAAACATCTATGAGGCTGCACCGATTTTATAAATGTCAGCATCTCTTAGTTGAGAATATGTAACAAGTCCAAAACTATAACAAAGTGTGCTAATGGAAGTAATAAGTTAAATCATCATGCAACTAAAAGTCACCATAGTAACGTCAGACGCAAGTTCCAAAGTTGATCAGCTCAATACTTTAAGCGACCATAGATAGGGTTTAAACAAGGCAACCAGACACATAAGTGATGCCAAAAATTTGAATTCTTACTCAATACGTATCTCTGGATCAACTTGTGTGACATTTGGATTTTCCGGAAGACGATCAAGCCGTAGCTTATTGTAGAAATCCATTGCAGCCCAAATAATTGGTTCATGAATATTTAGCCTCCACCAGTTCTCGGTTACCTGCCGAGTCATCAAATTCATCAGAAATGGATACAGACTTCTTATGAAAAGGGAGGGGTATTTTTTTTAAAAACTAAAAAAAATAAAATTAAAAAATTACCCTTATGTACACTTCTGGATATACTTGGATGCCATCAGTATTCTCATTTAAGACGGTCAGGGTTATTTTGAATACTGGTTGCTGACCAATATGCTCAGGTGCCAATAATACAGGCATCGATGTCAAGGGAAGCTGATTGTCAAGCTGCAAATGACCCAAGCTCATCTTGAACCTGGATTACATGAAGGTTATCCAATCAGCTCATGAGATACACTAAACTAAGCTGTCAATTCTAAAGAATTTGGAGATCGGAAATTAAAAGATTAATTTGTATCAACCCTGCAGTTACAATAAGTATTTATCATATAGTTAATGATACTTTTTCAAGCCTCTTTAAGTCTTGATTGAAATGTGAATAAAAAAATATATTGTTATTACCACTCCTGCACCCCCAATCTCTGGAAACCAAATATAGGAATGCAGTACATAATTTGTAAAACTATCAGGACACTTTCTTCAAACAGTCCCATCAGAGACTGAATAATTTCTTTTGCATAATAGTTCAGTTTTTATTCCATCTATGGAGCACTGATTGTGCCAGAGTGGCTTCTTATAAGATAAAAGATCTCACTAATTTGAGCTAATTTAAGACCAAGTGATCATCTTATGTCTTAATTGCATTATATAAGACAAACATAAAGATACAGACAAATGCGATTGCAAAGCCTCACTTGTTTGTAGTCCCATCATCACAGCCAGTGGAATATGCTACATAAACCCTCTCCAAGAATAAATAGGAAAGTTCTTTAGGTCTGTGATCGATAACAGAAAGACCAAGGACCCCAAGCTCAACAGTGAGTTCAAATGGTGGAACACTATTTCGCATTTTTTTCTGCATCTGAACACTCTCCTCATCATCAATCATTGCCTGGTCATCTCCTTGTGCATTCAACCTGGATGGCTGCTCCTCTGTGAATCGAGCGACTGTGATATTACCAGTGTCCATCAGTTGAAACTGCACTCCTGCTCCTTCTAGTGAGCACATGGAAGCACTTTCCAAGTTGAGTGTTAAGGTGCTCACACTATTGTCACTATAAATACTAGCATCAAAACATTTATGACCATATGGATCATCCCAAGCGAAATTTGTTGTAGACAGAGGTGTCAAATGGATCAAATGATCATCACCAAATCCACTCTGGCAAATGCTAATTTTCTTCCTTGTTCTATTTTCAATCCTGTATAAAAAAAAGTTATACTTGTCAAAGTTCAAGGGGAATACTCCTCAAAACTGGGAGTAAAGAAGTTGATATCACAAAAATTATAACAGGTTCACAGCCACAAGCATTAATAGACATGCTACCACAATAGTAAGCCAAGATTTACGGACACCTGTGCAGAAATAATGTAATTTATGTACACACAGGCCCAAGTACAAGGTACAATTCCTGATGGATTATTTGACATGCATTATAAAATAGGTTAAAGAATAATACCTGATGGGAGTTCTTGAGCATAGACGAAAAACAACAATGAACCGTGATCCTTCCTCATTGCCGCGAATTTCCATCCTTACAAATATCCGTTCACCGCATTCCTTTCGTAAAACAAGGGAGAGTGTGTCTTCCTTAAGGATTTCAATAGGAAATGACCATTTGGTATTTCCTAGGCGTACCTACAATATTGACCATTTTACAAAAATTAACATGGTTCTCTTACCAAAGAGGCAAAGACCCAATCTTAAAACAAGGTCTATCATTAGAAGAGAAAGCTTAATATCCTTATTCAATATACACTTAATTAAAACATGTTAAGCTATGTTTACTGTACCACTCATTGAGAAAATGTAAAAAAAAACTATCGAGTTATATGAAAAAAGCACTCAAAAACAACTTTTTTTTTAAAAAAATAAATAAATAACATCAAGCAATGCTATATCAACACAATACACATCTAGAAAACATGTCAACATCATTGAGGACATATCCAATAACATTTTGACTTGAAATTAGTAGGGCATAGTAAAATAATTCAAAAACCTGATCCACTATATCATCTAAAAAGTAGGGTACTTGATCTAACCATAACCATAACGGTTCGGGTACCCGATTTGATAAAGTGATAGTTATAAGGTATGGTTAACCTAACGAGTATCCGATAATGATCCAATAAGCATTTTTTTTATCAACTAAATATATTAATCCCAAACCTAAACTCCGACATAGTTTCATAATCACTTAATAATTTGAATAAATAATAATATTATTAGTAATTTAGTAAAGACCATGCGGTAACATTGTTAATTAGTGTTAAATATTGAAATGTCAAACTTTTCATTCATGGATATCAAATCAAGTATCCAATATCCGATCCAAAAATACAGATCTCCGAAGTTATCTTATTGGTTCGGTTCATGGACATCATTTTTAGTGTTATGGGTTATTAGATACCTGATCCAATAACGATAATAGCTTGGGTACCCGATCCATGCTCACCCTTAGAAATTAGGTAGCTCAAAATAAGTTAAATTTTGGCGCTTAAATGTTAATTGTACAACTAAAAAATACATTAATTTCTCCAACCCTTGAAGCACTCAAATTACCATGCTCTACTTTACAAAGAAGTTAAATACGAGCACTAACAAAGCCCAATGCTAAAAAGAAGGGTAATACCCCTTGCCAACATTGATCATTGTATAAAGTCCAAATACCTGGAGTTTGTTACTATCACTTGTTTCTCGATAAAGGAAGCTCACTCTTGAATCCGATGCCCTTAAGATCTTTGCCTCATCATGGCTGCTCAATTTTATAAATACATCCTGACCTGTTCTGTTAGTGAATGTCATGTATGGTCTAATGGAGACTACCTGGAAAAAAAAAGGAATAAAAGAAAAGAACATCATCATTTATAGTGTCCCCACAAATATCAAAGAGTTTGGCTTTTAAAAATACCTTCGTGGGAATGGTTTGGTAAGGGCACGGTTTAGTGGTGATGAACAATCGAATACAATTACCATCAGAATCAATAGCTGACAGATCCAGTGATCCATCCTACAAATCGAACAAAGGCATTTAGCAATATTACCCTCTTTTAGAGACTAACAGACCAAGCAATCGGTTACAAATGCAATTTACCATATCACTGAGTGGAGAAAGATCTTTAACAGGTCCAAATGAATTTTCTCCAGTAGGGGCAATAGATGCTTGTAATCCCACTGATTTGAAGTTCAGCGATGAAGTAATAGTGAAACCCTCCTGGAGTTCTTCTTCTATTATATGCCCACTTGTTTCTGGATTGTTATTTCTTGACTTCAATGGTGAAGATGCTTTTTCTACCTTTCTGTCAACTAGCCTAAAAGTCAGAGGAGGACACCTGGAAACAGCAAACCAAAATGGGGCATATATTCGGACAGCCTTTGGCATTGCCGGCTGTTCCTTGTCATGAAATTGCTCCAGAACAACTTGGACCATCCTGCACCAATAATATTATTATTTTTTTTTTTTTTGAGGTTTGGACACTAGAGAGGGGCATTAAAAAAATAATACAAGGTGTAAAGCAAGTAATAATGTGTATGAGGCGACCTTCCGGAAATTAGATTTTTTAAGTTCAACGTTGTAGATGACACTCCACTAGGCTGAGATATGGGAACAGCTTCCTGCAGAAAACAGAGAAGGCTTAGAACTATGATTGAGATATAATACCAGAGTTAAAACCTTTAAAGAGAAAAGGAACATTATATATTTTTGAAGCTCACATGCATTGGCAGCCACCCTTTTTGTGGAAACAGTGATAAGAATAAGCCTTTTGTAACATCAGCAGCATAAACATTTACAGCTTTTCCAGGAGAAAAAATGCCTCTAGAACGATTCACAAAGTGACCACTCGATTGCATTTCAAAAACTGAATACTCGACCCTCAAGGGAAGATAATTAGCAATAGTTAAAGGAGATTTAACCACAAGAGTCCAATCCTGGATGGGATCAGAACGGATATCTTTTGCAATATCAGTAGCCAGCACACTCAAGCAAAACCAAATTCCACTGGAGCCAACGGTGCTACTGGAGGAGGTTGGAGAATTATGTTCACAGTGCAACAATTTTTCAGATTCCTCTAGGTCAGATACACAAATCTCAGGTTCTTCTTGTGATTTGCTAGAACCTTGTAATTGAGCAGGGTATTCAACGACTTTACTCCAAGCATATCTATCTGGAATACCAAAATTTAAAGGTCGTAGAAGCAAAGAAAAAGATCCAGCATGCGTTAAGCATGCAAGTGGAAGGGGCGCAGAGTCACCAGGCTTAAGTAGACCAATGGATACATGTTGTTGTGCATCACTTGCGATCAGTTTCCTGTTTCGTATCCATTTTCGTTGCCGAGCATGATTCACGTAACTTCCAGCATCATAAGACTCTGGCCACTTAAGACTTTCTTCATCTGGAGCATAAACCCATCCACCAGCAGTGCACACTGACGCTTTATCAAGATGCCAATCATCAGCCCATACCCAGTCAAATGACGGCTCTTCCCCAGAAACTATCTGCATATTAAAGGTCTTAGTAGCATTAAGGTTAGGAAGAAAGTACAGATTAAATATGTATTATAATATAAAAGCAAACATCCCTTAGAAAACTCAGTCCAAAATCAAGCAGAATTCTAAAGTTCTGCAAACAGAATCACCCCCCAGCCTCTCGCTTTCAGTGTTATAGAATACTTTTATACAACTAACTTCCACAATAACTATTGACTTAAAAATAACTAGAATGTTATAATTGATACCATAAGTATATAAAAAAAAAATTAAAATAAATAATAGATCTAAAAATGAAAGATAAGAAAATAACTGCAGCAGGTAGCTAATTACTACTCCGCAGAAGATAGAGGGAGTATGATATCCTAACAGCTACACCCAAGGGGTGCTATATGTTTTACCTACATTCATTTTTCCTAACTTCACCCTTTGAGCTTAAGGACACCCATAATTCTTTCTAGGATATTGTACTAACTTACCAAATACTGTGACATTAGAAGTGGAATTTTCTCAGTACTAGCTCATCTTTAGCTTGCACAGTCATTATTGCAAAAGAAATAACAATAAAATAAGTATGACAATGATACGCATACTATGAAAACCAACGAATCAAATTTCTTTTAAAGGTTGCAGATACAAGACAGCTGATGATTCCAATCAAATCAGAACAAGCTGCTCTTGATGACATCAGGACAAGCTACTTATAGTGTCGATTTATCATCTGTATGACAGTATTCGCATATGATGAATGGCACTCAATATATAAAAAAACATCACCGTCAAAAGAAGTGACTTAAGAAGAGAATTAAAACACTTGACCAAATTATCCATTCAAGCAAAAAACACAATGTTAGGGTAACTCACCTTGTCAGGCCCTCCACTAGCTGATAGACTATTATCAGGTTTTCCAGAGCAACAAACCCAACCAACATCAGGTATGTATCTTTCTATTTCAAAAAATTCCACTGTTTCAATCTTTTCATCATTCAATTTTGACTTGTTAGCTGTCCATGGATTATTCAATGGTCTCTTGGACTCAAATGGGGCCTTGGCTTTCAGGCACAAATCAAGTGTGAAATCAGTATCATTACGTACTGACGCTAGGGATCTAATATTTACGTATCTATTGCCATTCCGAACACTAACTTCACTTGCAACAACATCATTGCCTAATCTCCAACAAGCAGCAGGAGCCGCATAATTCAACCTCACAGTAGTCCAAGGTCCTTCCCTGGTAGGACTAATCTGGATTAACCCAGGCTTCCTGCCATCAGCAAATGACTGCTTGTTTTCAACTTCCAATTTTGATGCAAAATGAACAGAAACTCTTAATCTTCCTTGTGTTCCCTTTGAAGTATCTCCCTTAGACAGCATCTGCCAGAAATAATCATGGTTCAGGTTTACACTAGTACCGCCAACTTCAGGATCAGAAAACTTAGGCTAAGATAAAAGTGACAAATCAACGAAAGGAACCTTTGATTCTGGAGGAAATAGATCAATCCATTTCCATTCATTGCCATCATCATGAGAATCAGCAGTTTTCATTGTTGCTATCTGCTTCAATGGAGCTGAGTAAAATCCAACCAAATCACCTGCCGGAACAAAGATGGTAAATTCATAGAGCATGGAATATTACATAAAGTATTAGCAATGAACTTTTACATACAAGGAATTATAAGATTAATAAATTCTCTTGTGTGAAATTTGATAGTGTCCACTTCACAAATTTTCTAGTTCATGTACGGAATTGGTGCTAGAAAAGTAGAATGGCAGTGCACACAACTACTGACTTCAAAAGTAGATTACCAGAGTGTTTAGAACATGCTCAATTCATAAACATTATTTGCTCAATCACAAGGTGACACCAAGAGATGATACAACTGCCTGATTCCGAATCGTAAATTGTAATACCCGAGTATTATATAATTTTATAATATATTTATAGATAAAAATAGGTATTGTAAATTATTAAGTAACTTTCCTAATCTAATTAGAATTTATTTATAGTTTGAAATGTTTTAAAACCTATTTTAATTTTACTTGGTCTCTACGTTTTTAGATCCTATATACTATATAGATTGTTTTAAATCCTACAAGTATTATATATAAATTACAAAGTACTAAATAGTGCAGCCTTGGTTTATCTTAAAACTTTGAGCTTTGCAATTTGCAATTTCAAATCAATTAAAAATAATAAAATATATACCTTTTCCAATGTCAGTCATAATAAGCTCCAACTGGTAGTTTTCCTGCTCAAAAAAATGTGTAAATTTCAGAAAGATAAAAAAAATAGACACAAACCATGAGTAGTATTGTAGCACATGGTTTGGCCAAAGTAACAACTCTTTAGGTTTCCCCGTTCAAAACATAGGCACATGTACTTGTACCATTTCAATAAATAGATAAAAGTCAAAGAACCAAGAATAATCAACAGTCCATACTCATGAGGCTATCCATAGGTGCAATTTTTTATGAAATAATGCAGATCTTTAAGCAATAAAAATACTACAAGATTGTTTCACCTGAGTAATCAGGCAGGGGTCATAACCCTTCCAAAATCTTCTCTTGGGGTGGGGCGGGGATGGGGAAAGGGAGGGTTGAGGATTTGCAGCTTGTTTTAAAATCATCGACCCCACCAACATTCATGATAAAAATCCACATAAGCTATACTATTATTAAACTTAAAATGTTTCTTTTCCTGAACTTAAATAGATATGTAGTCTGAGACAGAAAAAGTTAATAAGACAGAGAGAGTGCAGGGGGAGGAGGTAGGGGAGCTGTGAAAGAGGGAAGGAAAAGATACATAGTAGTGAAACTCAGATAAAGTGAAACACTTCTGACATACCGGAGAATCAACTTTAAAGAAGAAAACTTCTCTCCATTTAACACATTCGAGCTTCAAAGAACTGCTAGACTCAGAGCAACGCCCACATGTACGAACACTTTGCAGCTGATTTAATGCTGTAGCATCTGACAGAATAGGTTCTGGACTAAGGCGTATTGATACAGCATACTGACGAGAAGATAGACCATCCAACTTTTTAAACTGTAATTGAAAAAATGAATTAAATAAATGAGAAGCCATACTACCAACAAACAAACATTAAATTCTAGAAATAAATTTCCATACGTTGCTATAGACATGAAACTTTCATCTAATGTAATTGCAATAAACTTGGATGCATGAAAAGAATTAGATTTCCAATTTCCAGATCACTTAATCACTTGGTCCAGTCAGATATTTAGAAAAAAAGAGAATTGCAAAGGAGCAATATCACTTCTTTCACCTGATATGATGCAAATAACCATCAGGATTATTAATTGCTTTGCCATTGGTAATAATAGTGAGAAATTTTCCAGATGTTTACCGAGAGAACAAAAGTCTTCAAACATGGAGATTATCAAGTCCAACTGTCCAACTCCTAAATATGCTTCTTATAGCAAATCACTATTCCATATACAATCAGATAAATTGATATTGCTCGTGAGTAAGCAGCAAAAAAAAAAAAAAAGAGAGAGAGAGATAGGATACAATGATACATGATAAACAAATCCACCTGCTTTTGCGCTACGGGCACTATTACTGCTTGACAAATGAAATTTGTTACATTTTCTTGTCTATAACAACACTAGTAAACCTATAATCAAGTGAAAATATGTCAAGATCAAAGTCCGACAAAAAAGAGGAAACATGATGGCTGTTAAATTATGTCCATTTATTGTCCAGCCTAGCTACTAAGACATGATGGCTGTAAAACGTTCACAGCATCAACCCTTCAACTATGGAATGACAAAAAACAATTACACACATCATATTTTAACAGCCTGATCCAAGTGAGGCTGCAGCATTCACGAACCAATAATACAAAGAGTAAGATGTAAATTTATACAAACTATACACTTGTACAAAACTATGCTACATATCAAGTAGAACTCTGAAATTAAATCAGGACAATTTTCTTTTCTTAATTAAACTTTTTCTGATCATTTTCTAAAGAAGAATGAATGATCATACCTGTGCTTCTGCAATCATCAACGTCACCATTGTACGGATATTCTGGCCAATATTCCCTCGGAAGTGAGAATCCAGCATATTTTTCAGCACGGGAACTTTAAGAGGCTTCAGATCCACTGACGGCATCATGAATACACTTGAAAGCTCATTAATGTCAGTAACTCGGATGAAAATGTCCTGGCCGAGCTTGTTTTGTGGAATGATGAAATAATTTCTTTTATGATGCACACTATCAATTGATGTATCCTTATGAGTTAGAGAAACAATTTCCTGAAGAATAGGGTATCACCAAATAAATTTACAACACAACAAAATATCATCAAGAAATGGTCCATAATATTGAAAATAAGTGGCAAATATAACATATATGCATGAAGTAGCTTACAATAATTATCATACACTAATAACTGGGAGAAGTAAAGAGCATACTCTAGTAACGCAGGACTCTTGGATTTCACTGAGGCTATTCCAGCTTGCATAAGCTTGGAGAATCATATTTATGTTAGAACTAGAAACATTCACATTAAGATCTTTGGTTGAAGTGAGTCGTAACTGTGAAGCAGCAACAGGAGAAGACATATCATACTGATACCTGCATATTTTAACCATGAGACAGCAACCAAAATCATGCAACATAAATAAAAACAACCATTTTTATTAGAGAAGCCTTCAAACGAGTTAAGAAATTACATCTGACAGTCTAACAATTGTCAACCACTAGGTGAGATTAGTTCAGTGTGTACTTTTGAAAAAACCCAAAGACTAAGAGCTAGCCACCACATACAATGATACAATTCAATCACACAAAAAAAAAAAGAACTAAAGACACTCAAACACCAATTAGCACAAAAGAGCTAAAATATCCACTCTTAGACATGTTAATCAAGAATTGAGAAAACTTAACACATTATGTAGCACGTAAAAGAGCAAAGGTGGGGAAAGTGAAGCTCAACAAAAGTAAGGAAGGCTAATAAAGGGTGAGTTCCATGGGTCTTTTGGAAAACTGATGAGAGAAATCTAAGGTGAGTTTAGATTTTATCTTACATGCAATAAGAGTGGATTATGGCCAATATTTTCTGCAATGTTACTTTTAAGACTGCCATTTAAATTTTTAGCCTTTGCCCTCGCTGCAAAACTAATATTCTGTGGAAGGAGTTAGTGTGATATAATATTTTGGTGAGATAGGTGTGTGAAACATTTAATTCCACTGCAAGATGTCAATCCTCACGTGTGCAATACCTTTTTTTTCATTAGCAGTTTCTTCAGATATGGCAACCATGCCAAAATTGAGATCAAGCCTAAACATTCGTTAATCACAAAGAACAACTGTAACAGATAATCTGCGACATTAAAATCAATACTTACCTCAAAAACCCATCAGCTGCCTCTACCACAGGCTCCCAAGACTCGTATTTGTCATTGTATGACCTCACCGAAAGAGAGAAATTTACATTGGAGATTAGGTAGTCAGGCCTTCCTTGTAATTTGAACCCAATACCACTCAAGGACACATTAAACAACGGAACCATCTGCAAATATAAAATAAATAAGCAAGAACAACATCAAATGATTATGCAAGGGAAAGGACGCTGCATATTTCAACAACAAAGTGACATCAAGAAGAGAAAAACAACAGAAACTTTCAACATCATATTTCTCATTCTTGTGCAGATAAATGCCCCAACCATTAGCATTAGGCAAGTATCTCTAACAGGTGTATGTGTAAGTGTCCCGAGATATATCAACCATATAACCAAAAAGTAATCCTTTAGTCTTAATTATCAGTACACTTTTAGACAGATGTTAGAGATTACAACTTGGAAGATTAGATGTCATTCATAAAAAATGTTTACCATGAAAATCAGCAAAAACACCTCAGGTAGCCCATTGGCTGCATGACACATTTCAGATAAATTATAGATTGTTTACTTCCCCCGTTTTTAAATAAATGCTCCATCTGGAGTTTTATGCTTCCCTACTACATACAACTATGACCATTAATATCTTTAATTCCCTATAAATAAACGCTATAAAAGGTTGATATTTTGAAAGTATATACATAGAGGCAAATCCAACAATAGCCCACGTGACTATATATTTACTTACATATAAATCACAAAAGATAGTTAGAAGAATGTAAGTGAGTAGTGTAAAATGAGGAATGGAGCAATTAATTCAGAACTGAGGAAGTATCGGATACTTAATGATCTCAAATAAGGCATCACTTACCAAGCCACCATAGTCATCAAAGCATGCAACAGAAAACGTTCTAATTTCTGCATCGATGACTGTATCTTCCTTGCCATCTGTTACATATTTATGAGCAAGCTTCACTGCATATCTTTTGGAAGGCCTCTTGTTTCCACTCCGCACCTGAAAAGTTCCAAAGTCGCCACCAACTGCCCATATGCTAAATGGTTCTGCTCTAAGACCAGCATCATATGTATCCCACAAGCTTTCTTCCGAATATTGATCCCCAACAACCATGTCACTCCGTATGCATCGCAATGAGCCACTAAAATCATAATCCTTGGGCGAGCCTTTACAGGAAATACATCCCAGAGGAACATAACCAGGCGGAGCTTGAGGCAACCAAAATAACATAGGATCTACTCCCCGTTGCTTCTTAATTCTACCAACCATTTGGTATCCTATAGGTAATTTGAAAATTTCATCACCAATGTCTTCAGCAACAACACAAGCATTTGGACGTTCAAACCTATGGCCAATACATTCTCTCAGTCAATAACAATAAAAGCAACAAACATAAAGATTAAAGTCTATTACAAATCTGAAATACCCTTTAACTGCAATATCGCCAAAGAATACCATCCCTTGTGGGACCACTGGACGCCATATTGATAGTTTTTTCTTTGAACTGGAACCTTGATTGCTCCACACCAGATCAAAGAGCGTCACAGTCTCAAAACGCCGACCAGAATTTCCAATTGACGGCTCCACAGGGAGGGGTCCATCACGCGGTGAGGCATGATGAGGCTTACTCTTAGGAACATCTTGTGAGAACTCTGATATCCCAAAGAAAATATGTCGCAAGTCATATGCTCCACCAACCAGCTTCAATGAATTAGGATCTGTTGGTAAGAATGTGCCAACAGAATTATCCACACGCCAGAAGGGCAAAGCCATTGAGGACCTGCATTACTCCAAAGATTACATAAACCAGATAAGTTTCAACAAAATAAAGTTACAGATTTACTCCAAATTTCTAATTAATTGATAATTAATCAAAAAAATTAAGAGTGAAAAACAAATTGCAGAATTTCCAAGATCCCAGACCCATCTTAGTAACATACAAAAACATAAAATGCCAAAAATAAATGCTATATACTGCTTGACAATACTGATTTAATTCATTTCCCCGCAATTCTTAAGTAAAATAGTGCCAGAAAGGGTTCTTATAGTCACGTACTCATTGCTTGCTCCAATCACAACACAATCCCTTAATGGACAAGAAGAAACCAAAGAAGCCAAGATACAATACGAAGACGACAACGGAGGAGGTGCTGTTCCAGAAGAAACCACACAGCCCAGAGCAATATAACCTTCTGGGGCCACAGGATACCAAATTGAACAGCTTACGTTGCCCTCCTGAAGAATAGATGGCAGTCTGTTGATGCCTTCGGAGTCAGAGACATCAGTTTGTGGCCATATCAACTTGAACGACTCAGGTCTCTTGAGTCTTACAAGGTTCTTATTTACTGCAAGAACCGCTTTGGTAGGTGGCTTGTCTCTGACACAAAAATTTGAGTTACAACAGTCAAAAGCAATATAAAATTACACTGGCAGAGAAATAGATGAGACAGCACTAACAGTGGAGTCATATAGTCACCGAGGACAACAAATCCAGGGGGTGCACGAGGCCTCCAAAAGGCAAAAATGAGGTCATTCTTCGGGTCTGAGGAATCAAAGGAATTATTAAGATGATAGAGCAGATAACAATACCATGCAACAACAAATGTCCAAAAGTGAGAAACTCACATTCCATAACTGCTACTTTGTCAAACTCAGAACAACTGACAGTCATCTTCCTTGACGTCATTCTTAAGAAGGACAAAATATCTTCTTCAACAGCCAAAAAAAGACGCAAGATGCTGAAGGAAAAATTCATGAATATATCAGAAGATGAGAGATGTATGTTTGTCTCTCCAGCAACTTTTGAAAACTTGACAGATGTATCAAATGGCTCCAAAATTCTGACTCCATTGCTTTCCATTGTCAATCCAAGTGCATTTGCAGTCATTTCCATGGTTTCACCCTTTAACACAATCCTAAAACCAAATATTTACTGCATTACATAACATCGAAGCATTAAAGCTTCCCTTCCTTAAAATAGGAGGGAAATATTACAACAAAATCCACAACAATTCTGAATTTTAAAATTAGACAGACAGTAGAGACTAGTAGATTTTAATAATAGCATAAACTTTTTAGAACCAAAGGTTAATTTTCCAGTGCATATACCTTGAGCATACAGAAGGATGAAATCATCTCTTTGTTCTTAATAAGATAACTACTCTCTGGAAATAAATTGTTTTCTACATTGGGTTAGCGACTATACAGAATAATCACTTTTGGTTCATGTAACCGACCCCACTTATGGGATTAAGGCTTTGATTGATTGATTGATTAAATTAAATGGTGTTCAAAGGTTTACTTGACTTCTGCCCACCATTGACTAATAATTTATATGAGATTGGGGAGACATAATAGGAGACAGGCTCTAAGAAGATGGACTCATTTAACTATTCTTTGGTTTCAGAGTGAGAAAGAAACGATGCAACAACTGCAGGAAATTATCAGGCGTTCAAAAGTTTAATTGACTTCTGCCCACGAGGCTCTCGTGAAAGCAATACATTTCACAAGTTTTCTTTTAACTTCAAAAGCAAGGACTTGACCTATAGTGGCTTATTTACTATGAGAAATCTAACCTGGAGAATGCATCCAGCTCCGCATACAACAATTTGTTGGATAAACTTGCCGAATTTCCCACATCTTTCGATGAGCTATAAAAAGTGAGCTCTGGACTAATTGCCTGAATATAAACACATATCAGAATAATATTTAAAAGCATATAATACCTCTTTTTCTTACCTAAAACTGATATTGGAAGATAAAAACTCAGTGTAATTTTTGGAAAGAAATTTGAACAGCCCTACCCTACCCACCAAAATAAGTTAGACAAAAATAAAGAAAAAAAATCCAAGTATAAATTATTCAGATTTTCATTAAATCTACAACTTGCAAATACGTTAGCTTGTAAATAGGAGAGATTCATCCCCTGGTAATACGTTACCCTGGTAATAATTGATCGGTTCTTCCCCTCTTTATTAACATTAAAAAGATTTGCAACAACAACAAAAACAACAATAACAAAGCCTTAGTCCCAAAATAATTTGGGGTCGCCTAACATGAATCGTCATAAGGAACCGTACGATATAAAGAAAGGGACATAACAAGATAGTCATTTTAAGAGTTTGATATATATATATATATATATATGGTGAGTAAAATGAGCAAAAGAAAGAGCATCCAAGAAAATTAAGGGAGTTTTAAAAGAGAACCAAGAATGAAATTAAAATTCCATGTAGAAAAATAAGGGAAAATTGAACAGAGCATAACCTGCAACTCAATTATGTATTCTGGAGGTTCGCCATTATCAGTATTTTGGTTCTCTGTAACTTGAAAAGTCCCAGAAGAATCCTTTAAAGGTTCATCTTCATACTCCAAAGCAACGTGATCATCCTCAGACACCGAATAACTACTATTATCTCCTAATACAATGCAAGAGTCCAAATAACGTCCATCCTGCAACAGTATACACTAATTAGATTAGTGTTTCTTCCTTACCTTACACAAGCTAATATATAGTAAACAAAAATTGAAAGAAATTAATATAATAAGGCTGGCCACCTTAACGACAACATTTTTGAATTGCAGTCTTTTCCCATTTCCCACATATATTAATGCTTCTGTACTGGAAGATGAAATAACAGAACCTTGTCTATCTTTCAGCAATAGTGTCCCACCATTGCCATCATAGATAAAATGATCAAATCTTTCATTATCAATAATAAGGGGTGTCTTTGGAGAGATAGAAGATTCATATGAAGGTTGGGTGTAGGTAGAATCATTCAAAATGATTGCATCAACTAAACTCATGGGCATGTCATCCTCTTCATTTGACAAAATGCCACGAACTGTTGGGACAAAAAACTCAATAACGGCCAACAGGAAATCAAGTGCAACGAGCAATTGAGGCCTTTGCAAACACAAACATATAGATGATGATTTTTCACTCAGTGTCGCATCAACAACAAGCATCGTAGCATCTATCTGCCTGATTTCATTCTCTAAAGAACTATACTCAATGCTTTTTGGCTGCCCAATTGCTAGTCTAAACTGTTCCTGAGTACTCTCACGATCATCCAGTACATTAAAACTTTGGAGCGTGACAGATAGAAAATCTTCTCCGCCTGTGGTAGACTTGTAAAGAAGCCATGCAGTGTTGATCTGTCATAGCAAAGAATATTAATGATCCCAGATTATAAATGAAGCAAATACAAAAAGCCAAAGAAACAAATAACAAGTGATAAGAAATTAAAAGGGATTGTATACAAAAAGACGCACTATAAACATATTGTGTGTATAACTAATAAACAATAATGGCCAGATTAGCTTAAGAGCAGTGACATATAACCTTTATTTAAAGGGGAGCAACAGTTTTAACCACAATAACTATCTCATCCTAGTAAGATGGGAAACAACCACCGAACATGAAAATTTGAATTCTGTATTCTGAATTCTGAATCATGTAGATGAGACTATTTATCATAATCATGTTCAGCAATTACTGATTGCACATATATCATACACAATGTTTTCGGAACAAAAAATTTACATTTCAGAATCATTTCCATTTGGTTCAATTAGGCATTGCCATAAACTACATCTAAGTTCTATCATCTGCCACTAAATCAATCATCTTTAAATATCAAATTATTCAATACAACAACAACAAAACCTTGGGGTAAAAAAGGAGACAATGTATTCGTTGAAAGTAAATACAAGAACAGATACCTGAACGGTTCCCAATGGTGCATCTCTTGCAACACCTGAATGTAAGCTCAATTCCACTAAATTAATAGCAACAATGACTTTCAAGCTGATCCAGACCTCCCTAGTATGAGAATCAACTTCAGTAGATCCTAATTTGAAAGTCGCAGCAGACTCAATCATGTCAATGGAGGGCATCTTTTTCTTCCACTGCAAGGGAGGCACAATATTTGGAGGCTCGGATAAATTAGACTGTGCACATTCTGTAATGATCTGGTATTCTTTGTTAGATAAAGAAGCTTTCAGTACATCCATCTACAAACACAAATTAAGAAAAAAAAGTTAATAAGAAAAGCACAATGAAGTTGTAACCAATGAAATAAGATAGGGACTGCAAAGATTTGACTTTGCTGTAGAGCAAAGTGTGTAAGAACGTAGATGAAATGACCTCTATTGTTGCTTCGGTGCTTGGAATTTGATGTAACAAATCTCGAAGTGATCGCCGAAGAACAATGGACAATCCATTGACATCCTGAATAATGCTATCACCCACTTCTTTTCCAGTTCCAACATTCAAATTGATGTCTTCAACCTACACAGACAAAATGGACTTGAAAGCATTGCTAACAACAACCCATACTGACTATTCAAAAAAAAAAAAAAAAAACCACCCATACTGGTGCCCCAATTCCTCTAACAAGGCTCCTGTCTTAAGATGTTATAGGAGATAGGCCCTAAGAAGATGTAATAGGACGGCTGCTTTACAAAATAAAAGTAAAAAACAAAAAATCTAGCGAGACAGATTTAGTCCGCTGAATTAGGTCGAACAGCAGATTCATCAGAGAGGTTCAGCTTTAATGCTTGCATAGTTACATGATTAATTTCTGAAAATTGGCACGGGAACTGCCTCAAATGGTTTCATATTGTTCTTTGAGCAGTTCGCTTTGCGTCCTTTCATAAAAATCTTTTATCTTATAATTTGTAGAAGGATAAAAGTTATTTTAAAGTGTTGTTCCAAAGTAAATCAGCTGGGGCTCAAATTATAACTTGGTTAGTCAAACTATGTTAATCTGCTATTTTGTCATTGGAGGACACCTTGTCCTATATACCCTCCTCAGCTGAGAACACAGTCTATTTTTCTTACCAAAAAAACCTGGCAACCCCAAGAAACTTCAGCAAATCAATTCAGTCATTTTCATAGGGAAGAAAAGACATAGCAAAAACATTATATGTATCCATCAACAGAAGACTTAAACTTATACACTATTTAAACTTTACAGCCATAGAAAGGAAACTAGAGGACCAAACGACAATGGATCCAGTTCCAACATTTGGAATTTGAAACAATCACTGAAAAAGGAGAGTGAAAGAGAGAGATATCAAATGTTTGATATGGACATAACTTACCATCACAGTCAATATTTCCATATGAACAGCATTCATCTCATGTTTACTGCCATTGAACCACTGGAAGGTGTTCTGGACAGTTATATGTACAACATCAAGCTTCAGGAAACTGCAGAATAGAACCCATTACATCCAATATTGACAGGGTCCTCAACATCAAGGACGGGATACTCTATCTTGATATGAGAATAAATAAATAATTAAATAAGATAAAAATATACTCGAGACTGTCCGTTCTCCGAGGCATTATTATAATTGGCTTTGTAAGTGATAAATTGAGCTTCATAGCAGGTGAGCCCTCAATTTCACTGGTAGTAAACCACTTCTCAGAATCAGTAACCTGATCCCTCAATTTGACAACGCCAGCAGAAGCGTTGGGAGCAAGACCCACAAAATAACTAACTACCTACATACAATTTCCAACCATTAGAGCAAGATACAAAAGAAAGCTAAGCAATCGAGATAAACATAAAATTGATTACCTCTTGAATAAAGCGATTCAAGAACACAATCCTTACTTCAGAAAGTTGACCAGAGAGACTATAATCATACCCCTCATAATCATCATCATCAGAATCATACGAAGAGAAATCTATCTGCATGCAAAGAGTCAAACTGTAAAACAATGATAAAAATAAATAAAAAAATAAAAAAATAAAAAAAAAAAGAGGGTAAATGGGCAGTAAATAATAAGTGACCACATAAAATTGTGCTAAATGTATCTAAGTTCATGTAGCAATTTATGATTATGAATGAGACAAGATTAGACAACCCATTAGATTAAAACAAAATTTTAGTGTTTCATTGATTTTAAAGGGGGGAAAAACATTACAGAACATCATTTACACTAGTATCTACCAAAAAAATTGTTAGTAGATAGCTAAATACAGCAAATCTATGCATGTAATGGAGAAAAACTTCAGTTTCCAAGAGAGATGAAAAAAGAAAAAAAAAAAACACAAAAAAAGGGTTACAAGTATGATAACCATTGTTCCTTCTGTTTCATTCTTTTCCACGTCTAATTAAGAATAATTACTTCTCAAAAAGAACACACGCACGCACGCAAACAAACAAACAAACAAACAAACAAACAAAAGAGTATTGACATAAAACCAAAATGACAAGTAATGACACCCAACCAACAAAAGAATCATGCTAGCACAAAAATTCAAAATTGTGTAATACCTCCACAAATGAACTTCCCCCTGGGTTCCTCATGTCACAGGCCCAAAAATAAAAGTGCTCCAGGGAAAGACTGTCATCACTTATTCTCAGATTACCTATGGAAGCTTTGATACTGAATGATGATGGAAATACCTAAACCAAAGGAAGGCAAGTTAGTTTAAATCAATTTCACAAAAATAAAAGTATGTCATATAGCATAATACAAGAATAAGATAAGACTCGTAAGAGGGGGGAAAGCTCAAGTAAACCTTAATATAAGTAAGGAAATTATCCTGAGACAAAGTAGCGAGCTTAGTTTCATCCTCCTTCAAAAGAACTATCTGGGCACGAGCCATATTCAAGACTAAATAAAAAATAATTCTGGATTTTCCCTTTCCTAAGAGACCTACAGCAACAGACTGCGCAGCTACAGTTGTATTTTGTGGATCATCACCTTCAACAGGAATTTCATGCTGTTGAGTGGCAGCTGGTGAACTGTCACTGAGAGATACAGAGCTTGCATCTTCAAAATTAATACCACTCACAAAATCCATAACAGCAGCAAGTGTAGGCCTACGGCAGAAAAACGATAAGGTGGCAAGGGTCACCACAACCTGCAGTCACCACAGAAAAAATCATTTTGACATCAACAAACCTATCAGACTTCACTGCCCAGAATAGAGACAGCAACTCACCATATTATCGGTTTTACTATAGAAAGGAGAGTTCTGATCATATATAACTATTTGAGCTTTAACAAAACTTCCCAACTCATCATTTTGCCCAGATTTCTCTGCTATAGATTGAAAGGAGCTATCAGGTAGAAGACCAGGCACCCTGCTAAAGCTGGGAGGTATAAATGCTGATACTTCAGGGATGGTGAAGCCATTATCCGGCAGATTCTCTGGAGCCTCGTAGAATTTATCATCACCTTCAGCAGACGAATCACCATTACTGCTCTGCCTAGTTTCTTCAGAAATCATACTAATTTCAGGGCCCTGTATGAATGATCTGGCTAAATATTGACGTTGAGAAGTTCCTCCACATACTAAATCTTCTATCTCCAAGGATTGCAAGAGAGTTCCTATGAACATATCATTATCCTTAATCGCAATTTCCACCTGTTAAAACCAATATATATAACTATGATGATAAAGTAGTATATAGAGCGCAAAAGTACAAGGATAACAGACATACCTGACCACCAACAGCTCGAAATTCAAACAAATGCTTCTCTTCGGATAGTAACATCTTCATAAAACTCTCGTCATACTAAGTTTCAAGGCAGCACAAAGACAAGTAAGACATCTGGCAGCAAAAGATCTAGATTACAACATAATGAAATGTAGTTTTACCTCCTGGTTATAGTTGAAGCAGATTTTTAATTCATCTAACACACCAGTAACAAATATTTTCTCCATGTTTATAACATTATCAACACCGTTGTGTTCAACAGCCTCAGATTCCGAGCTTTCAGCATCCGATGAAGATTCAGAAAATGTACTGATTTGAGCTGAATTCTAGATTTAACATAAAACCAGAAAAATATGCAGCATTAAACAGATATTGAAATGCAAAGAGCAACGAGGGGGAAATGGAGTGGATATAGGACTCAACCTTCAACAATAATAGATTTATACTGTTTTGAAAATAGAATCAAATTGGATAATCACATTTACTGTCCCCCAGCCACATATTAAGAGGGAAATCTTACAGCCAAAGGATGATTTAATAAATTTAAAAAAAAAAAAAAATGAATCAGCAAAGCAAAGATAGCTTAGCCAACAATAGAGGCCCAGGAATAATAAAATTGACAAGAAAAGTGTACTTAAAAAAGAACAAATTGATATTTAACAAAAATAGAAAGCTCCTACCCCCCTCGGCACTTTTAATCATAATAGATAGCCGGTGAACCAAAATAAAAGATACAAAGAGACAATTTCTACATACTGATGCACGATATATAGCATTCCGTAGTTGGGTATACCAAATGCTTTCAGATTCATCAGACTCGAATCGCAAGATCAATGCATTTGCTTGCTCAACAACCTGCAAATGCAAAAATGGGGATAGAATGAACTGCAACAGCAGTGGAATCAATGATATAAATGACAATCACATAAATCAACACTTCAAATAATTAACTTCGAAAAAAAAAAAAATTGCTATTTTGCAATTAATATATAAACAAAAAGCGAGTATAAGGACCTTGCCAAGAGCATGGACACGTGTAGCATCAAGGATAGCAAGTATATGTTCCTCATTACCAACATTCTCTGCAGGCACCTTATGCAGATGTTTCCCTCTCAAACTGCAAAAGGCCAGTGAGTTGACCAAATCACCATTACAAATTAATCTATCAAAGTTGCCCAACAAGTCCAATGCATTACTATTCAAAGCTGATTAGTAATATATTATAGGTAAATCAAAATTGTAAATGATACTGTATTGGGTTTTATAAGTGATAAATAATACAGAGACAAAACTATGAATTTAGCTAAGCAGCCGGACACTTAAAAGAGGAGTGAATATGATTTCAACAATTAGTAGCAGAACGATTGATATATTTATTTAGAAATTTTGATTTTATTAATCCCAACTTTGGCCGATTCACTTTTATTAATCCCAACTATGAGTTAGTTTTTAATTATCCGAACTTTGGGGGATTAGCTTTATTTGGTCCATCAGGTTACCGGTTTTCTTGGCACGTGTCAACACATAATTGGTTAAATAAATAATTTTTTTTTTTCAAAAGCCTAACTCCTCTCCTACCCTACCGACATCCCCTGCAAAACCACCCCTTTTCCCTCCACCACCGTCCAGCCCCCCTCCACCGAAAACCACCCTTCTCCTCCTCCTGAATATAACCGCCTCCATTCCCCCCACCACCAAAGCCATCTATTTTCCCTCCCCACCACAATAATTCACCTCCTTGCCTTTCCACCACTAAAACCCGCCTATTTTCCTTCCCTCACCATCGAAAGTCACCCCCTCCCATCTCCACCATAAAAAAAAATACCTCCTTCCTCCCCCACAATCAAAAACAACCCTTAGTGGTGGTCTCAATGGTGTTGGCTGTCAAAGGCTAGTGTACTAGTGTTGATGGTCAAAAGGGGAAAAAAAAAAGAAAATGAAAATATTCATCAAATCACCGGTCATCGAAGACCAAAAAAAAAAAAAAATGAAACCCCCCAACCCCAAATCTATATTATTAAAAAGGAAAATTTGTTCAGAAAAACCTTTTAAAGTATTTTTGGCTGTTTATAAAATTTTTTATTCAGGACAACCAAGTGGCACTTTCCGGCGTTGACCCCCTTTTTCCCACATGTGCGTGTCACGTGCCTCCTATTTTTCTAATCACACCCTCTTTTCCTAATTCCACTCTATTTTCCCTCCAATTAAACACTCTCTCTCCTCTCCCTCTCTCCTCTATGTGAACAAGCATCGATACAACACAAACACAAACCAAATGCCTATACTTAATCGAATCACCCTTTTGCAGCCCAGATTCATTGTTCCTTGCCCTAATAATGCTAAGATCAGTAGTAAGGCTGTGCTTCTCTGCTATCAGGACATCAGTGTCAAGAATACCCTCGTCAACCCACTCAAATTTGTCACAGCCCCTCTGCCAGTTTCATGGTTATAAAATTTGAAGGCAATGAATTTCCTCCCAGGAATATCATGGGTCCATGAAGTCCTCTTCGCCACATGAAAGCCACACCCACACCTCAAATCACCACCTCGAACCATAATTGTTGCATAATTGAGAAATTTTAAAAGGGGAAAAAAAAACCCTAATTTTTTATCAACTATCGAAAACATGAAAAATTGATAAATTAAGCACTTAACTGTGGTCGAAACTTGTTGGGAAAGCCTTCAATTGCTTTGAATTGACTGAACTCCAACAATGGCTGGTTCCCAAGAAGAGAGAGAGAGAGGAAAGGGGAGAAGTATAATTGGAGGTAAAATAGAGTGAAATTAGGAAAAGGGGGTGTGATTAGAAAAATAGAAGGCACGTGACACGCACATATGGGAAAAGGGGGGTCCACGCTGGAAAAAGGCGAGTCAACGCAGGAAAGTGCCACTTGGTTTTCCTGAACAAAAAAAATTTATAAAACAGGTTTCTCCTAGCCAAAAAATTTTTAAAAGGTTTTTCTGAACAAATTTTCCTATCAAAAACTAACTGATAGCAGGAATTAATAAAGACGAACCAGCCACAGTTAGGATTCATAAAAGAACCAAGTGTCTCACATATACTATATAAATTTACCAACTATATATATATACCAACCCCCATTTTTTTACACTAGTCAAATTTATATTTGCTATAAGTTTATTAATGTCTACATTCAATGTTACTATTTAAACTAAAATTAGAAAAACATTACCTAAATTAGACCTTCATTTTCGGTAGGGGTCTTCCGCTTTCTCAGTCAGATTATTCAGTAAGATATGCTTTGACCATTTTGCCTTTTTTTAGTCTTGAATTTCAGGTTTAAAACAAAGCTGGGTTGCGTTTTTTCCCAAAGCTAGTTCATCACCACTTACAGCGTACGGCAGGCATAGAATTGAGTGAGTCATAGTCGAACGATTCATTCAGACTACTGGATTGCTCCCATGGATTTTTCCCTTTGTCCCTCTTTTATGGGCACTCAAAACCCCACGGACCTTTCTTCTTGCAAGATCAACACTCTTTTCAGGCCCTTTGTGCTTATTCTTCTTTAGAAACATTCTTTGGCGCAACATTAATCTTTTCATTGTAATGCACACTTATTCCCGAATCTCGCTAAATCAGAATGTGGAGAAGAATATGGAGAAGAAGCAAAGCAGAATTATGGTTCTTACATGGCTGTTGCTAGGGGCGACAAAATCGGATGGTTCTTTTATTGCATTGATAGAAGTCACAAGAAAAATATCTCTCTAGTACTCTGACAAAAAAATGATTGACTGGTGAACTACGTGAGAAAAATGGTTCAAATAATCTCGATAGTGGTTCGGCGTCATCTCAGTCATTTTCCGTTCCACTTGACCTTTACCAAGAGGTAGGATTCTTACCTAGTGTTGAACCAAATAGCAGTGTCCTAAATCATAAAAGTATGTACATTGGTGTGAGCTCTTACCTTCTCTCTCTACCTTTTCTCTCAATACGATACACCAAAAAAAGTAAAAATCTATATTCAAAAAGCCCTGACAATGATGAACTCTTTCGATGAGCTCTCTTGTGGTCCCAAAAAAACATACAAGATTTAGTACACTTTTCAAGCATATAGCTACTCCATAAGTATTTAAGTGGCTCTTGGGGAAGAGCCATTCTCATGTGGCTCTCCATGGAGCTCCATCCAAGAGCTAATTAGAAACCCCATAGTTGGGGAAGATTAAATTCTTAATTTCTCTCTCCTCCAAAAGCACATTAGAGAATCAGTTCAAGAACCCTAATGTACATGCTCTCTAAGTGTTTCCTCCAGGTCCATTACACTAGCCTATCATTAAATTCCATTGCATCCACTAATCCAACAAAACCCAACTATCCAAGATGTCACTCTTAGACAACCTCTAAAAGAAAATTGTCCCAAAGGGAGAGGACAATACTAGAAGTTACAGACGTATAAACTCAAAATTCAGCATAAAGCAAATATTGAAAGAAGAATCACAAAACAGAACAGAGTGGTAAGAGCCCCAACCTCAGATATTGTTTGTAGGTTTTGGAGTCTGGATTTTCAAGTATGTAAAGGAATGGACCAACTAAACAAAAGTATCTTCGCTGCCAAACAGCCTCCCTGTTTGCTACTCCCTATAGTTTAAAAGCAAAAACCAGGTGCAGTAAAAGGTTAGCACTGGAAGTGAAGAAACAGCCAGTAAAGATTAGTTTCCGTTATTAATTCTTTTTAACAAAATAATCAAAGAACCAAATTCCAAAATTTCAAAGCGATTAATATTCAAGTAGAAACCTTCCAAGTCAAAAGATACAGCCAACCCGAATAATCAGCTTGTGTCCACGGAAGCAAACGGTTAGCATTATCGTCATCCTCCACAAAAGATTTCACTACTTTCATCAAACGATGGTAGCGAGCTGGGGAAAAATAAAATCCCAATGACGGCACCCGAACAGCCAACCTCGTTGATGGATATGATGGGTTTTCCACCCTTATCTGTATGTATCAAGGCATCAGCAAGATGATGGAAAGCGTGAATATTCCACAGAATGAAGATTGCTGACCCTGAATACTACAATAAAGAAGATATGCAATCTGCCAAAGCACAATAGAAAAGATCTTCCACAAGGTCTAACAACACATGGCAGGTGAGCTTAAATCATATTTGCATCTTCTGTATTTTTGAAGATCTATAAGCCAAAAAACAAACTTTACCTGTTGAAGCCTAAGAACCACACCACATTTGTCCAAAACAGGCAATAAAACATCACCGGGTAACTTGGAAGAGCCAAGATGCCCACCCAATGAGGCTTCACCCCAGCAGTAATCACCATCCACAAGGAAAGCAGATACATCACTCAGCACCATATCAAATTGCAGGTACAAATTCATGATCTCAGCTGACTCTGATCCATGGTCATTCTAAATTTGCAGTAGGCATATTAGAAAACTACATAACATGCATATCATGTACTATTAAAAGTTAAAGTGAAACTACCTTCGTTCGTATTATCAGATTCCCCAAGTCAAGCATGAGTTTTGTTGAATGATCACCATCTGGACAAAACTCAGTAGGAAGAGTAATCTTGGGAGCAGCAATATCCAGGTCGAGCATAAACCTAAAAGCAAATATTTAAGCCAACACTTCACAGTTTCAGAAAAAAGTGAACAAGAATAATCTAGGGGCTGATGTGGAAGAAAGGAATTATTTACATAGATTTAATCTGTAGTCCATGGGTTTTGGTGTCTATCAATAACTAACTTTCTATAGCTAAGGATGATCAAGAGTAAGTTCAGTCTTTACACAAATCGCTGCGATGCGCTGGCTTGTTCAGGCTTTTTAATCTAAGCAAATGCAATTCGTTTGAAGGCATCTTTCCTTTCTCCCTTGGTGAAATTCCAATTGGTTAACGGGCAAATGTGAGGATTTCAGAAAATTCTTGGGCAGGATAATTTGGGACTCTTCAAAGGGTATCTACACTTTATTATGTTCACTATCACAAAATTATAACAAATGCTAAAAAGATAATTTGAATCTCTTCAAACGGTTTCTTCAGTTCATTTTCATAGAAATGATAGTAGTACAAACTGTAATAACCTGAATATTAAACAAGGCTTATTAGATGTTAGTGATATTTTATAAGCTATACAACATCTCAAATAATTTGAAACTGTTTTGAGAAATATTTGTTTCTTACTAAAACTATATTCATGATTACTGATTATAGAATAGAACGATTGAAATAAGTTCGAAATATTATAATGTCATTGTGCCAAAATAATAATTTTCTACTAAACATTTTAATTTTAATTATTGTCCATCATATTTTACAGCCCAGAAGACCAAATCTGAATTTGATCACAATTTCTGAAATGATGATTTTACCCTTATCACTCCAAAAAGAGAACAAACCAATTTTTTCCATGTTCCATGTGTACAGTGTGTAGAACCTCAATGGCAGCCATTATTGGCATACTATCTCCTCAGAAATGATCTCCTGATCTATGCTACCCTACTGAATTCTTAAGATCCAATACAACTATCCCATTTGCCTAAAAATTTTCAGAAATTTGTCATTTGTAATTGCCAAGATTTACATAGTCCAGCAAGAATCTAAATTCAACTTGTTTATCCAGTTTAGGTTTGTAAAATGTCTACAAATAGCACTTTAATATCCAATAAAATTCCAAGCCCATAACTCATTTCAAACTCTGTTTATTCATTAGTGAAGCTAAATTTTCTCATCATTCTTCATCTATCTTACATAAGCCATGGCTGCCATTGCCAAGCTTTCAACACCACTCTTACATAAACCCAAAACCACCAAGTTAAACCTTGAATTTACAAGCCCAAATTCTCCCTCTTCTTCTCACTCTTTTTCTCTCTCCTCTGTTGGGATTCTGTGCAGCCACCTTACTCGTTATCTACCTCTATGGCTCTACCTAAGCTCAGCCACAAGAAGTGCAGTGTGGTGCTGCAACCTCACCGGAACTGCAGGCTACCACTGTGAAGCTGTGGTCCAATAGGCTGCTGCTCGCTGTTCTGTTTCTAATCTTCTCAACTTCTCTCTCCCTATTGTCTTTCAATCAAAGACCGAAGTCCAAGTAGAATTAGAAGAAAACTGACATTCACAGCAGGCCCAAATTTTAGGAGTTCATTTAATGTAAATTTTCTAAAAAAGAAAATTGCATAATTAATAATTTAATATAAATGCTTAAAAGTAGTATTTAATTAGTTTAATTTTCTTAAAATGAGTTTGCAAATATCAAACTACCAACAATGCCAAAATTTGAGCAAGTGAAAGTGAAGTCAATTCAAAAAATAGCAAAATAACTCACCCTAATTAAACATTAGGGCACAATAATACTCCTTTCATCCTAATTTGACTGTCACGCTTTCATTTTACTTCTGTCCCAGTTTAATATGTACTCAATAACATTCTATTACCAAAAGTTAAGGTCTCACACAGTCACCCCCTCTCTCATTCAATTATATATTCCTCCACCATTTCCCATCACATCTACTTTTCAATTAATATATGCACCCAATGTCATAGATGACACACTTTTCTAATTAACTCATCCCAAATTACTTCAAACACTTATATAAATGGTAAGGATACACCATTTTTTTAAAAAATTCCATCACTTCACTATGAACCCACTACCTATCATAAAGAGAAACAAAAAAAAAAAGAAAAAATGCCCTACTACCTAATAAATATAGTAAAATCACCCTACTGCCCACTTAGTTTAAAAAAAAAAAAAAAACCCACAAACTACAATTTTAAAAAAAAATATCCCATTATCAACTACCCCCAGTAATGTACATAGTAATAACTTTATTGATTTACCTAAATATTGTGCCGGTTAAAGAGGTGCGACTAATCCGGAACATAGGAAGTAATAGATAAACCAACCACTTATCGCATAAAACTACTTGAAAAGGTTGGCATGACAATTAAATTGGGGCAGTAAGGTCAAGTCAGGTTTCACCAACTTGGTGCGACTAATCCAGAACATAGGAAATAATAGATAAACCAACCACTTATCGCATAAAACTACTTGAAAAGGTTGGCATGACAATTAAATTGGGGCAGTATGGTCAAGTCAGGTTTCACCAACTTATATTTAGTTTTTTAAGTTCAGTCTTTTTTGAGTTTAGGATTCTAATGTCGTCTCAAGACCCAATATTATCAAGTTGGGTCAAATTTTGCCAAGTCTAATCTAAAGCTAGATATAAAAGCAACCCAGCAATGTGATATTAAGTTTACAGTCAAAGCATACCTGCTTTGATTTCTCAAAGCCCTGGACATTTGCTCTTGTGCAGTCTTTTTCATTTCATCAATAGTCATCTGAAATTAACAGAAAGAGATTCAGCAATCAGTAACATATAGAAGAAAATAACAGGAGATCACAAAAACAATAACAATAACTTGCATTGGAATTTATAAATAAAGTTACACAGACCAAAAATATGACCTAGCCAGATTTAAAAGCCACTTCTGATGAACTGGAACAAAATTTGCATGAAAAATTCAAACTTTTAACCATCTACTTAAATTAATCCCACCTACATAAGAACTTAGATCACACTCAGCTTCTGTAATTGTATCCTCAAATTATATCAATAAATCTAATACTTAGATTTTAGGACATTATCTAACACTATCTGAAAACTAAAATAGCAATTGGCATTATTAAGAGAATACAACCCCAAAAGTTGGGATTATTTAGAGTTAATTACAATTTTAGATCATCCATGTCACTCAATTCATTAATTAAAAAACGTTGTGTAGTTTGTACTCTGTACAACATGCACATTTAAATAAGAAAAGAGGAATAACATTAGAAAAGGAATATCTATGTTTGACCCCGACTTCCCACTGAGTTGTGCAAAGAACTACAGGAATACCTGTACAGCGGCTGCGGTCTCTACAGCTAGTGTCTGACTGACAGTGGTGCTCTCAAAAAACTTCACAATCTGATCGACGGAGTCTTTAAGATACTGTAATGAAAATTACTGATATAACTGAACGCTGCACATTTATAGTAAAAAAAATTGATTTTAACATTTTACTTGGGAAAGCATTCTCACAGTCACATAACAGGGAGAAGCTTTAGCGATGAAACTCCAATCAACCTCCACATCAAAAGGCTTGTAAACAAATGTGCCGGCTAGAGAATCATGAGCTGTAGCACTCTGGTAACAAAATAATGCATCCAGTCATCAGCATGAAAATAAAAAATAAATAAATAAATAAATGTCACATGAATCAGAGGAGTCAGGATCAGACCTCAGCAAGAATTCCTTGTGGTGATGTCAGACGATATGAGCCTAACTTCAGATCAAAATTTTTTGCTTCTGCATACAGACTACCAGAGCACTTTAGGCTCTCACACGACAATTCAGCGACACATCCATCGGCATCAATCAACTTTGATGCATTACGTCTCATGTAGAGTTCAAATGCAGTATGTATAACATCCTTTTTCACATCAAAAACTTGTCCAACATCGCTTTCCTTGTATCTTATGATTTTATTCAAGCGCTCCCAATCTTCATCAGTGAACTGTAAGGTTTCAGTCTCAGCTTGAGATGACTCACCACCACCCCTAAAAGAAAAGAGTTAACTGCTACTTCAACCACTCTGAGGTTCATTCGACACAGTACAAGAGCTTAGCTTCGACAAAAGTAAGAAAAAGAAAGCAAGATTTTACCACCCAAATGACCACCATGATTTTTTTTCTCGTTGTTTCCTCAGGTCTGACTCTATGGACTGCTCCACAAACCTGTGAGCAACCATCCTGGACAACAGAAATATCAAGTTGATCACAATATTAGAAATCAATAGAACAAACCAGATATATATTTTCAAAAGCATAAGTAGGTCCTGCTTTTAGACCAAATATAGGGTGTGTTATGCACCACCCTTCTAAGTAATACAATCGTAATAATTTACAATGATGTAGTGAATTAATTAGTGATTAGAGGTTAATTGATAGGTTGAAGTAACATTTCATAAAAAATCTGGTTGTAGACCACTAAAATAACAAAAAGACAGTTTTGCATAAAACACTTATTTGCTGTGATTGCTATTTGCTACAAAAACACTAACCACTATCACAATCGCTACTCTACTAGCAAAAAATAGAAAATCATTTCATATTCAGAAGCTTTAGAAGGCAAATGACCATTAACCAGCATACCCAATTGTGGATATACATGCCAGTCACAAGCCATAACACAACTAGAAGTCCAGGGGAAAAAAAAAAGGGGGGAAAATAGATAGACAAGTTCCACAGCTACTAAAAGTTGTTTAGATGTTGCATGAAAGCATGAGCGCATGAGAATTTTTTTACATCAGCCCTTCTTTTGCTTATGAGTAAGTGGATAAAGCCCCCTTGGTGCCTTTTAAAGTTTTAAAACGTGTCACAAATACATAATAACTTATCCACAGACAAAAAATATCGTGAAGAAAATACAAGTTATACTTTAGCTTAAATAATCACCAGACAAGTTATATCAAAAAAAATAGACTTTAACCTTCAAATCTCACCTCCACTGCACAATGAGATCAATATCAAGTTCAAGATCTAGTTTTTCAATTTCTTTACTGTCATCAATCACCGCCTGACTTGGATTGGATTTCAGTAAAGAAGCATACAAAGATATATACTTCTTCCTTAACCTCGCAAACCTCAGCACTCGATCCCAAGATAGTTTCCCACTGCAATAGAAAATCAAAGGATGCAAAGCACATCACATACATATCCAAAAAGCATGCATATATATACATTAACTCACCTGCCTCTCGAAGGATCCGACAATAGTAGTAAAACGTTCAAACAGCAAACAAACACAAAAAATAGCAATATAGTTGGAAATAAACCGACTATAGATCACTGCAGTAGCAACTCACATGACTGTTCAACTCTACATCATAATACAGTAGTGAATCTAGCACGGCATTCTTCGGCACGTTAAAGATTGACGGATAGTAATAATGTCAGGTAATTGAAATAGATCTAATAGAAACACTATCAAGAAAGGACAAGCTGTCACTAAAAAGAGAAAAAGGTGGGGAGAAAGGCAACAATTCCTGGCAAGAAAACTTTGAAAAAGGTTTAAAACAAATAAATAAGTTAGATACAGCATTAAAAGATAAAGTGTTCAGAAGTAGACAAATCCAACCATGTCATTTCCCTTTCAATAAATAACATATTGTGTATGTTATAAACATATTAAGCACTTAAGGGACCAGGGAAGGGAGGGGGGGGGGGTGGAATCTAATCCGCCATTTTGAGGTTAAATTAAATTAAATAATAAAAAATCAATGCTTATTATTAGGCTACGATATAGCAAGCTGCAATACCTCAAAAACTATGAAAAAATTGACTTGTGGAAAGTAAAAATTTAAAACTTACCACAATAGTCCTCAAAATCTATGAAGAAAATCCTTACTTAGATTTTTGTGCGCACACACACACACACACACACACAAAAGCCAGATAAAAGATACAAGACAGGAAAGAGAAGCATGTTTAGAACGTGCCCAAAGAGAAATTGCTCCTATAATTAAGAGCAAGAAGCCCAAAAGAAAAAAAATGTAAGAAGATTTTCCAAACCTAGCCATCTTCAATTGATCTGATACAACATTGTATGCATAGTTCCACCAGGACCTGGGATCAGATTTCACTGGGACAACTGGGCGATAGTGCGCATACTTCAGACGCTGATTAAAAGCAGTGAAATTGTCGGCTAACTTCAGCATATCTCTGTAACCATCCTGTAGTATGGCATCATAAGGTCCTTGGCACCATTCACATCAACCCAAAACAAAATAATTTGTTAATCAAAAATATCTACCTTCGATAAACAGATTGTCACATCATCCAAATTTACTGCTGCCTTCTGCAAAGGTTGACCGGTAACAGGAGAATCATACGACCGCAGTTTTAAGTACTTGGCATTTCCAGATATTGGTTCCAAAATGTAACTATGTTTATCTACAGGAACAGCAGCCACTTTTCCATCCTTTGTTCCAAACTTAAAAACCTGATACTCATCATTGTGTTAGTAAATTACAATTCTTAGTAATAAGAGAAAATAACACGTACGGGACAAGTACTGCAGTACACACCTGAGACCACTCAGAAGGAAGTAAATCCTCCCATGGTTTGTCAAGACGCCATGGAGACATATCAGAATTGAAATAAAAAGCTAAACGCTCCAGTTCCACAGACTAACAATATTCAAAAAGAAAAGCAATAATGGAATTTAGAAACATGAGTAATAATTTAAGGACAAAAACAAGTGCACAATCATCTTAAGATATCATGAGGCTAAAAGTGACTAGCTCAGCCAATCGGCTTTGCATTCTGCTACTGAAAATATACAAACCTTCTGGATATTATCCAATGCACCCCCAGTGACAAAAGTTTCATTCCCATTGTTATCAACAGTGAAAGCTGAAAGTTTGTCCAAGGTAACACCAGCTGCAAACGGGTGACCAGCATTGCTGAAGAAAAACAACATATTAAGAAATGTATAGTTGACAAGAAATTTCAGGTATTGTAAGTTGTTGCAGATACCTTTCACCATCTTCATATCTAATGTGGATATTTGAAATTGAAAGCTTCAGGTTTCCGATTATAGTGCTAATCAGTGACCCCAACCAAGATTTATTCTGATACAAGGAATGGAGTCATTGAATGTCATCAGCTATATATATATATATATATATATATATATATATATATATATATATATATATATATATATATATATACCTCATCCCTTGTGTCTATTTATGAAAGAGACTGAGGCAGGGAGAGAGTAGGGGGATCCCAAGTTCCAAACCCCTAATTGACCGAGCTTTCATGTGGTCATCAATGTATTTACATGCTCAAAAAAAACAATAAAAAGATCATCACATACCACTTCATCAGTCTTTAAGCGTTGTGCTCTTTCCAACAACTTCATTTCCATCTCCTATTGCAACAATTACCAAAAACAATTTTAAAATTCCTAACTCAGCATTCAAAAACATGAGCTCAAAAGGAAGATCAATGAAGTCGTACACGTATTCGATTTCTTTTGGCCTCCTGTAAAGCATCTTCACTGTCTCCATCAACATGTGTGGCAGGTTCAGCTAACAAAAAAATTTCATCTAATTCAACTATCACTGGATCTTGGCCAAGCTTACTCCAAGGAACCTGAAATTAAGATCCATCATAAGAAAATTCAAAATAACTAAAAACTGAACCAGCATCCTAACACAACCATTCCATCTATATAAAAGCTATCAGACCAGACTGTGTAAACAACAACTCTTGCATAAAAATAAACAAAGCACCAGATTATATCAGGAGAAATATCTATCACTGCGAAACTGTAAGGCATGGCAAATTAAAGGACCAGGAATCCTCAAAATCAAGTGAGGTTGAGAAAAATTAGTGTACTTCCAGAAATATGCCATGGATCATGAAGATGCCAACATTAACACCCAGAAACCCAATTGCCATCTTCTGCTCTCTCTTAATTCTCTTCCTATCTTCATATTGATCATGACTCCCTGTCATCCCCCTATCTATACGTGAAAAGATCCTGCTCCCAAGTCAGTCTGATATGGGAGTGAATAATCAATTCAAAAAGATTACCTTGGTTATTTTAATTAATATGTTAGCTTGGATTATGACGCAATTTAGAGTAGAATTTGCAGACATAGGCATATTATTATACGATTAAATGGGCCTCAATCCATGGATGTCGAAACACGCAATTGAGGAATTGAGACCTTGTGAGCATCAACTAGAAGTTGTGCATACAAGAAAACAATTGTAATTTGGTGTCATGCTTTTTTCTTAGGATAGCATTGTTTAAAAAAAAGTCAGTTACGACATTATAGTCATTATTCGGTGTTTTATTTTACACAAAGCAACTAATGAGGCAGTGTTTATGTGGTTCTAATATATGTTATTCACATAAATTAGGAGTTCACTTTAATTACTACCTCCGATCTTTTCAATAAATTAATATCGATACATAGTTTAAGAATGCATTAAAAAGGAAAAATTGATTTTAACTGTCCCAACTTACTTTAACCTGTACGCTAAATAGTCCCACTATTAAATAATCCTACAATGGGCCAACCTTGAAGGGTTCTTCCCAACATGATCCCTAACCCGTTGTAACCAGTTTAAATGGTTACAATGTCGCGTTTTAATTTAGCGTATTTCTCCACCCATCTCTTCCTTTTTCACCACCCTCATGTCACCTGCCCCAACCACCCCCTAACCATCGACCCCTCTAGCCACCATCCCCGATCACCCTAGCCTCACCAAACCACCACCCTACGTTAATCTGACACCCTATTGTACGCCTGAGTGTCCGGTGTCGAATCCTCCGACACTTCAACACGAAACAACACTCAAATATATAGTGGCCTTATACGAAATTTTATAAAAACTGGAGTGTCGAAGGATCCGACACCGTGTCAGACACGACACCCAAATTCGAGCCTATGCAACATAGCCACCACCTTCTCTCTTTGTCTCTCTAAACCACAAGAACCACCTTCTTTCTTACATATACACTTGTCAGAAGAAGAAAAAAAATATATATATACATTTTCAACGAGAACAAAATTATTAAAATGTATTCCACTAAACCTTACCATCTATTCCTCAAAAAAATAAAAAAATAAAATAAATAAATAAATAAATAAATAAATAAATAAAAAAAAAAACTTACCATCTAAAATTTATTATAATTTTCATTTTTCCCGGTCCTAGACTCCTAGCATACAGCTTTAAAGGCCAGTTTCAAATTTACATGGAGAATGTGAAGAGCAATTCCCTCTAAAATTATGGCATAGAAATATAACCAACCTTGAGTGTGACAGATCCAAGGAATCCTGCTTTAACTTTGATGGGCAGTTTTAATGCATTTAATGCCTCGGGCTTTAGTTGCATGTTAGTTAGCACCACATTACCTGTTCAAAAGTACCAAATTACTATCAGAAACTGACATAAATTCATGTAGCATAACTAAATAAAATCCATGCAAATAAACAGTTTATATCTAAGCATTCGCCAAAGACAAAACAAATACTGAGCTTATGAAATCTAGCACAAACCAATCACAAAATAAAAAGCAACCTCAATAACATAGGAAAAGAAAGAACCTAAAGTAGGGTCATCAGTGATTAACACCAAGTGAATCAGATAGTCTGAAACAAACCCACTAGGGCAAGAAGAGAGCAAGAAAAGGATATGGTGATCTTGAGAGTCAAACTCCCAAGTTTCAAGCCTTGATGTATCATACAAGACAGTTATCTCTATCGTGAATACACATGCATAAAGCGGCAGCCTATTGCCTTATAGGCTAAAAAATCCTAATTATATGAATTATATCAGATCTAAAACCTTGAAAAAAAAATAAAGGCTCAGATCACATTAAGGTGTCACCAAAAGGAGAAGCTACAGGTATAAGTTCATGGATGTGTAGCAGAGCATGCTGCTGGAAGAATGAGATAAAGAGAGAGTAAAATTAAGTTAAATCATTATTGATGGAGAATTTTCTAAAAGAGAAATGAGAATTGGTTTCAAAAGGCTAAGAATTCATAGAGATATAATTAACAAAAAGAAGATACTTTTGGCTCTTTGAATAACATTAGAAACAAAGAAGTAGTTCTATTGAAGTGAAATTTCAATTAAGAGTAGTTATTCATAATCTCTTACAGCTAAATAGTTATCATTTTGCATAATAAGGTCGATTATGAATAATTTCTTTTAGAATAAGCTAATAAGAATCATAAATAATAATTATTTGGGTGAAAAACATGATGTTCAAACTTTTTCGATGAAAGAGTAACAAATACTGTTTCAAAGTACATAGTATAAAAAGAAAGTTATTTGGAGATCTATTTGCAAGTACCTATTCCAATCCTGACTAAGCAAAACATTATAAGTTCCCTTCCAAAAAAATTACTTCGCACTAGTTTTAATTGGGTTATTTCCTTAAGTTATGTAGCAGAAAAATTTTAATATGATGCGGAAGCCCTAATATGCTGCAGCACAACTCAACTTCAAATGACCATAGCTCATTAGCTCCATCACTAAAATTGAGCATAAGGCCCCTTGCTAACTCTCTAAGACTTCCAATTTCAAACGTAGATAATTTCTATGTACAATGCAAAGAGAGTGTATTATTGTTCAAGTTTGACCTTGATGAATCAGCCAATTCCAATACAATGTATCCATTGGACCAACCATTTCCATTTTTGCCTTAGAACACTGACAGAAAATTCATAACAGACCATAATCTCATGCTAGTGCCCGATTGATTTCTACCCTTAAGTCCTTCAAAATCAAGTAATATCCCCCAGCAGAAGGAGCAAAGACTCATTCATGTTTACATGATACTAAGTATAACATAAATTTTGTAAAATGGCTGACTTCAGTATATACTAAAAGTTCAAATATATGGCTCATGCATTTGCTTAGTCTCACAATCATAATTTCTATGGCTATTATCGTAGGTAAGCAATACACTCCATATGAGTATGGCTAAGGTTTATTTAACCGCACTTCGAACACTGCATTGAAAATCCTAAATCCATCACTGGTCTAAAATCTAAACTGGCAGACAGGCTAAACCACTACCTCCACACTGAAAGCTGATTATAATCAGAATACTGTTCTCCGTGTAATAACAGCTTAAACAATTTACAGCCGCAATCACAAGAAAAAACTTAAAAATGATTTAAGGTTTATCTAACCACAATTCAGACACAATGTTTTACAATTCCTGAATCCGCCACTAGTCTATACGGAACTTCCAGCCGAATATGCGACTACCACCACTAACCAGTCCCCCACACTGTAATCTAATTATAAATTTATAATCCTCCTTACACTAATAACTGTGTTATACAATGTCCGGCATCGCATAAACTAATAAGTTCAATTTAACAGTCAAACACAAATAAATTTATTCTATACCACAAAATTCAATGAACATTCATCGTATATACTAATTTTAAGCAACAAGTAATGCAAATTTGATCAAAAATTCACAAAAAAAAAAAAAAAACAAAAAAAAAAGGGAATTAATTGATGATTACCTTGCCAGACGCTGATTTTGAGAGCGTCTTTGTTAAGACCTCTAACATAATTGCCTAAATACCTCTGCAGCAAATAAGCTACTTGATCCTCTAACATCTTCTTCTTCGATCAAACTGCAATCAAAATCTCATCCAAAAAACAAACAAAAAAAAAAAAAAAAAAAAAAAATCGTAGAAATAAAAATTGTATTAGTTTCATTGAAGCAATTCGTCGAACACCTAGAGTGCAGAAATGATGAAACCGCCAAAAATCTAACAGGATGAAAGAGAAAATGGAGAGAGATTCGAGGATTAGAGGACAAGTCTGACAGTTTCTAGAGATAGAGAGAGAAAAAATAAAGATGATTTGCTTTTTTCTTTTTTAAAGAAGAGATATTTCAGTGAGAAGAAGAGGAATATAGAAAGAGTTTCACCTGCAAGGCAGTTGACACGTGGCGCATTTTTTGGAGATAAAGACGGGGAAATTCTGCTAAGTGTACTTTGCATTTAAGAATGGCACGTGTTTATCATAAAAATTTATGAATGGCACGTGCTTCTGGGTAGTGAAGTTGCGGGGTGATGGGCTGGGCCGACTTGCCTTTTAGCTGTTTGAATGGATCAATCCACAATCCCACGTATGAGTAATATTGAACAATCGATCATATTAGAGAAATTAACGCGTTTTCTGTGTGGTTGGCTGACATACACCCAATCTCTGACCGAATAATCTCTAATTGAGTAATATTTGATCAAGTAATCTTAGCCACACGGTGTGATCAGTCACATATGAAACTTTGTTTAGAGAAATTGGTTAAGACATGAGAAAAAAAATATATTTGTCACGATCTTATACTTCCTCCGTTTTTTTAATTATAGCACCACTTGTTCTTTAAGAAAGTTTCACAAATATTGCACCATATCCATTTAAGGAAACAAAATGTTTCTTTTCACACTACAAATACCCAATATACCCTTACTTTTAACACTTTTCTCTTTAGTTTATACTTACATCACATGGTTAATTTGTACTTCTACCCCTCTCTCCCTCTTCCTTTTTTTCCACTACCAAAAAAATTGTGTCCAACCCATATGGTATGATAATAAGATAACAAAGGAAGTATGACAGATGACGTGTACAAAAATGGACGATGAGATGGCAAGTTGTGTGCAACTACACTAAATGCAAATAAATATACCATTATGCATCCCCAATAATGTGCTAATTATCGTATTAGTTTGCTATGCTACATAGGATTTCAAGTTATCTTTCTTTGTACCTAATTTATACCCCAATAGATAGCAAGTAGCATGTTATTTAAATGAGTTTAACTTTCTTTAATGGCTTTTTAAATTTCATTTTATTAATATATTAATTTCCCATATTTTAAAAACTTTTTCTCCAGCAAATTAGCTTAGCCAAGCTCGTGGCAAAAGCCTCCCATGGTCATGCACAAGACACTCACTTTGTCAATGAGGCAATAGGGCTAGCTTGGAGGCTTGGAGCCTTCACATGGTGTGCTTGTGGATAACTTTGACACGTAGGAGCTCGTGGGCTGCTTTGACCCAAACATCTTTGATGTAATCCAAAAACTTCGAGTTCGTTTGGCATTGTTGTGGTTTTCTATTTTTTGGTTTTTTTATTTTCAAAATCATATGATATATGTCATATAATGAATAAAAAATTAGTCAAACTTACTAAAATCCTGACAAATTAGAAAACTAACAACAAAAATAGTGAAAACACCTGTTTCTTGTTTCCTGTTTTTCGGTTTTGGTTTTCAAAAAAACAAAAAACAATGTGAAACAAGCCCTTAATTCTTCTAGCAAGTTATTCACAAATGAAAAGATATTGAAAGAAACGTATTATACTTGTATGAAGAACATATAATTCCTTACATAAAGAGTAAAGTAACAACATACTTAGTACTTAGTTGGATAAAATGCTAGTTAGAAATTTAGAATGACTTATGAATCATTATATACTGATATACCTCTCTATCTAAAGAGAACTAGTCTTAAACTCGTGTGAGCACGGCTGTATAATGTTTTATAATAATTGTATTTGTATTTGTATTTTTGCTTAGTATTTCAATTTCGTATAAGAATAGTAATACGTAAAAAAATATTTTAATAGTAGTGTTAAATAAGGACTCCATATTTTAAAAGCACTAATAAAAAAAAGTATTTTAAAAGTAAAACATAGTTAAAAGTCGATCTATCAAAATTTTTACAAAAAAAAATAATTTAAAAAAAAAAAAACGTATGTCATATTGTGAAAAACAGCATCTTATAGCCGTTTAGTCGAACTTGCAAATTTTATTTTTCAATATTAATATTCTTTAACTTTCTCTAATTATTAGTATTCTATAATATGCATTGCATATATGTAAGGTTTCTTTAACTTTTGTTTTCTTCTGCCATATGCAATATTGTGACTTATAAGGGCAGATAAGTTTTTGAGCCTCTAACTATACCATTCTTCTGCCATATATATGTAGAATCAACCATGCATGCAAAAAAAAAAAAAAAAATATCATGTATTCCCCAATACAATATATATAAGAGGGCTACAAATTAAAATTTTCCAAGTTATTAAAATTGCATTAGACACCAAATTGAAGAAATAGGCTCACCTAAACATAATTTGCAGCCCTCTGTAATCTTCACTTTCACTGTTGACCCACAAACACCTTTATGCAAATTAAAAATAACAATTTTATTAAATTTGAAAAACAAATTGATCATACATAATAACATAAATGAAACTTAAAATATGAATACATAAATAGTGGAATGAAAAATAGAAAGGATCTTACTATTTTCAATAGGGTGATGGGTCTATGAACAATTAACTTCCCTTTATAAAAACACTAATCTTTCATTAAAAATAAAAAATAAAAAAAACTAATTTTGGGTTTAGCATCTTGTATTTACATTTTAAAAATGTGTTGAAGTGACACTTTTGTAAGTTAGAGAACACTTTTTTCACACAAATTTTTTAAAATAATAGTTAAACTTAAATCTACACTTAGTTTGAAAAAGTTTTTTTTTTTTTTTTTTTTTTGGGTAAAGGCATGATCAATTTTCATGTATAAAGTTAGTTTCAAAATTAAGGTATTTGTAAAGGCATGATCAATTTTTATGTATAAAGTTAGTTCGAAAATTAAGGTGTATATGCATGAAATTATTTTTTTTTTGTTAAATATTTTTTTAATCAAAAAAAATAGGAAGTGGATACGTCATACGTGTCCTTCCAACTTCCTATTTTAAAATAATAAAAATAAAAATGGACACGTATCCTTTCAACCTCCTATTTTAAAATAATAGTATAAATAAGGACATAGGAAGTTTGTATAGAGCAAATGCCAAGGACCACTAAAATCGACTTTCAGTAATGAACTTAACAGTCCATCTAATTTTCAAAAAGTAGGCCCAACTTTATTTCTTGAAATGGGGCCGGTCAATTATTTAGATGGCTTCAGCTTCAATCCTCCGTATATTGGTCCATTGTACAATGTACACAGTTTTACGGTCCTTTCAAAATTACGGAGTATAAAATGTACACAGTTTTTCGAATTATACTATATGACCCAAGATTGTGATACAAGTACATCAATTCAAAATTATGTTTTCGCTTTTCGCCATTTGAGTATGACTTTGATGATCAATTGTTATACGAAGTACTAATAAAAAGGTACTCTTCTTTAACGTAGTTAGTTTTCATCAACTTTGCTACTCATACATTTGAACATTTGAAATGAATGTCATAGTGACTTTGCTCAAATTTTTTTGGTAATATACTTTTTCTTTAATAGCTCGTAAAGTATACGAAGTATGTCAATATAGAAAGACAAATAGGCAAACATATTTTTAAGTGAACAAACTCTTTTAAAATGATTCGAAATAGTATTAGACAATTTTAGTGAGACAAAGAAAGTATGTTTCAGCCTTCAAAAAAACAAAAAAGAAAGTATGTTTCAAGAAAAAATGTGGTAAAATTCGTAAGTTACTTAATTTCTTTCATTCTTATCCTCCTAAACAAACACTAGTAAAATTTAAGTGCAAACACAATCCTCTTTAAAATTAAAAAGAAAAAAAAAGACTTCTAGCAATACTACTCTATTCAAATGTGCTAGAGTAGACAAACTTAATACGTTCATCACTAGATGCATGTAAAAAGTTATTTTGAGTATGGGGGGAACTTGCAGGAAATTTTTTCTCTTTCTTGAAGAATGTCGAGTAAAGTTATTATTTAGATAGATAGACGAACATTACCCTCCATTAACATATATATCAATGACTTTTAAATCCAAGTATAATTTTTTCAAGGTTCGTTAATTAGTGCTTCATCCAATAATTAGTATTTTATACTTGTTTATATTTTAACTCAAGCGATCTCACATAAAGTGGTTGTAAGCCTTCTAACTAGTGAGCTCATCTCAACCATTTTTTTTTTCCAACATATTTATGAACAATATTTCTCCAATTTATAACTCTAATGTGAAACACTGGTTATCTTATTGAACGTAGCCTATTAGTTACTCATGTGTGCCTTAGCGTGTTTACGTGAAACAATCCGAACCTCTCCATCCCTCAGTCCCTCTCTTGAAATCCTCTCCCACGTCCATTGTATCGTGCACAACAAAACAATTGAATAACACGACCACTATTTCAATTGAATAACACTGGTCATTGATCGTAGAAACACCTCATGATATAGACATAAGTCCCACATGACCACATATAATTGACATCCCTCTTATTGTAGACAACCATTAACGTAAAGTGGCCCCCACAGCTGAGCTTGTTCCAGCTCAATCCCCACACTTATTAATACTTCATAGTATTAAAATGGCCAATCTATGTTTTTCCTAAAGAAAAAGGTTTCCTCCTTTTCTTTTGCTTTCATTTCACCTTTCATTTAACCAACTTTTTAAGTGTATAATGATCTAGGAGTATTGAACTTGTTGCTAATTTTATATTTCGTGGCTAGATTTTAATCTTAGTTTTCTTTAGATGATTGTATTGAAAAGCCTATGTGTAAAATTGAAGATCGGAGGTAACAGTAAAAAGATTTATTATTAATTAAATATAAATAATTCGGATTGACAAATAATTACTCAGGACTACTCACTCTCCAAATTTTATAACAAATTTGAATTTTATGTTGTCAACCCACAACTTTTATTATGAAAATATACATTAAGTCTAATGAAGAGTATTACAATATTAACCTTTATTTTTTGCAATTTTTAAAGATTGTAATGATCATTTGAACTCGTAGCTATTTTTTATTATTACATGACCGAATTTTATCATTTTTTTTTTACATGACCAATATATTTTCAATGTGGTTTAAAATACTCATGTGTGCTTGTAATAACGTAATGTATCTTATCA